TTCTTGATTGGATTATTTGTTCTTTGGGTGTTGAGTTTGATAAGTTCTTTATAGATTTTGGATACTAGCCCTTTATCTGATAGTCATTTGCAAATCTCTTCTCCCATTCTTTTGGTTGTCTTTTGGTTTTGTTGACTGTTTCCTTTGCTATGCAAAAGCTTTTTATCTTGATGAAGTCCCAATAGTTCATTTTTGCCCTTGCAAGGGCCTTGCCTTTGGCGATGTGTCTAGGAAGAAGTTGCTGCAGCTGAGAGGTGGAAGAGGTTGCTGCCTGTGTTCTCCTCAAGGATTTTGATGGATTCCTGTCTCACATTTAGGTCTTTCATCCATTTTGAGTCTATTTTTGTGTGTGGTGTGAGGAAATGGTCCAGTTTCATTCTTCTGCATGTGGCTGTCCAATTATCCCAACACCATTTGATGAAGAGACTGCGTTTTTCCATTGGACATTCTTTCCTGCTTTGTTGCAGATTAGTTGACCAGAGTTGAGGGTCCATTTCTGGGTTTTCTGTTCTGTTCCATTGATCTATGTGTCTGTTTTTGTGCCAGTACCATACTGTCTTGATGATTATAGCTTTGTAATAGACGTTCAACAGATTATTAAATATCTTTATCAAGTGTTTTTATGGGAACTTAAACTCAATTTTCCTGGGTCAACTGGGTGTCCTACAATCAATTCAGTTCTGCTGCTGACTAGCTGGAGATAGTGCAGGCCCCACACTTTAAAGGGCTAGCTCCCACATGACTGCCCCTACCTTAATCCCAGGTGTCCTGAAGGTAGGTTTTTTTACTTCTGCCCAGTCAACTACAAATGAAGGAGTTCCCATGACCCTTTTTCCTCACATTTATTAATTTGCTAGAACGACTCACAAAACTCAGGAAGGTGAGTTATGCTTATAGTTAGTTGTGAGGGGGTTTTTTTCTTTTTTTTTTTTTTAATAGAGGATACAACTCAGAAACAGCCAAATGGAAGAGACACATAGGGCAAGATATAAAGGGGCTTCCATGACCACTCTGGATGCTCCTGGAACCTCATTGTTCAAGAGTTTTTATGAAGGTTTCATCAGGTACTTATGATTTATTCAATCATTGGCCATTAGTAAATGAACTCAGTCTCCAGCCCCTCCCTTCTCCTGAGGTCAGGGTGTGGGCCTAAAATTTCTAATGCTAATGACTTGTTTGGTTTTTCTGCTACCAGCCTTCATCCTGAAGCTAGCTAGGGGGTCCCACTCTTGGTATAACAAAGACACTTGTCACTTAAGAAATTCCCAGAGTTTTTGAATTTCTGTATCAGGAACCAAGGACAAAAACATTTTTTTTTTTATTCTACAGGGCATAGAGATACTAAATATATCAAGTAGGAATAAGCATTTTTAAAAAAGAATAAAGGTGACAGAGTGACAGAAAGGGGCTACTTTAGGTAGAATAGTCAGGGAAAGTCTTACTGACAAGACTTCTGAGCAGATGACTGAATGGTGTGAGAAAGGGAGTTTTCCAGGTAGATAAACGTAGGAAAAGAAAACAGTGTACTGTGCATTTTAGAAATCCAAAAGTAGGTCAGTATAGCTGGGAAATAATGAGGGGGCAGAGGGGTGTGGAGAAAGAGTGGGAGGGAATGAAGTCAGAGTTAGTCTGAGGTCAGATATGTGGGGCCATGAAAGCCATGGTAAGGAGACACCTGGGTGGCTCAGTCAATTGAGCTTCCAGCTCTTGAGTTCAGCTCAGGTCATGATCTCAGATGGTGAGATCAAGCCTCACGTCAGGCTTGGGCTTAGCTGCAGAGTCGGCTAGAGATTCTCCCTCTCCCTCTGCCCCTCCCCCTGCTCATGTGCATGCACATGCACTCGTATGCTTACTCTCAAATAAGCAAGCCATGGTGAGAATTTGGGATTTTATTTTGTGATGGAAATCTATTGGAGGGTTTTAATTAGGGATATTACTCTAATACACTTTTTTTAAAAAACAATCATAACGATTAATACTTGGAGACGGGCTAAGGGGATGTGGACAAGAGTGATTAGGAGGCTACTAATGCCGTCTGGACAACAGATCACAGTGGTGTCAAACCAGGGCATTAGTAGTGGAATTATTGAGAAATTGGAGAGTTTCCACATATAAGTGAGTTCATACAGTGTTTGTCTTTCTCTGGCTTCATTTAACATAATGCCTTCAAGGTCCAGCTATGCTTTTGCAAATGGTAAGGTTTTCTTGTTTTTGTTTTTTTTTATGGCTGAATAATATTCCATTGTATATGCCACAACTTCTTTACCCATTCATCCATCAATGGACACATAGTGCTTCCATGTCTTGGCTCTTGTAAGTAATGCTGCTATGACCTGAACTTGGAGGTGCAGGTGTCTCTTCGGGTTACTGTTTTCATTTCTTTTGGATATATACCCAGAAGTAGAATTGCTGGATTATATCGTAGTTCTATTTTTAATTTTTTGAGGATCCTCCATACTGTTTTCTATAGTGGTTGTATCAATTTATAATTCCACGAACAGTGTGCAAAGGATTCCCTTTTCTCTGCATCCATGCCAGTTTTTGTAATCTCTTGTCTTTTGGATGATGGTTAGTCTTAACAGGTGTGATGATCTCTCATTGTCGCTTTAAAGCAATTTTTAAAAATTTACCTGTTTAACAGAGAGAGAGAGCGCGCGCGCCCACAAGCAGGGGAACAGCAGGCAGAGGGAGAGGGAGAAGCAGGCTCCCCGTTGAGCAGGAGAGCCCAATGTGGGGCACGATCCTGGGATCAGGACCTGAGCCAGAAGGCAGACGCTTAACCAGCTGAGCCACCCAGGCGCCTCTCTCATTGTGGTTTTATTTGCATTTCCCTAATGACTAATGAATGTTGAACATCTTTTCATGTATCTGTTGGCTTTGGAGAAATGTTTCGAAAAGGACAAATTTTGAACTGATAGTTACACAAGAGCTAGCAGGCAGTGAATTTAATGAAGATGGTTTATTTTCATTTTGTTTTGGTTTGTGTTTTTTGAAGGTAATTTATTTATGCATAATTCTGTTAATATCTGTGCAGTATTCAGTAATTCTAATAAAAATTGTTTTGAAAATCGTACGTAAATTTGCAGGTGTTTTATGTTCATACATATATGTTAATAAGGAATACTTCCTGGCCAGTTACTTTGAATGGTAGTTGTTAAATGATAGGATTCTAGTAGGTTGTATGAAGACCTAAGGTTCTCTGTGAGGAATCATTTGAAATTAAGCTAAGTGATAATTCATGGTGCTTTGTAAGAGCTTTGGCAGTATAATATATTTTAGGAATTGAAAACTCACCCTGTTTTCCAGCCACCTCCAAAAACCTGATGTCAGCTTGACAAAAAGTTTGAAAAATACCAACTCTTAGTCCTGTTGCATGTGAACATACTTTTTACTGTCGACTTAACATTGATTTACTTGAGTACCACTTTGAGACTTACCTCTATCTTTTCCAAGTCTTTTCTCTCTTTTTTAGTTTTCATAGCCATAGTTTGTGTTTTGTATTTGCTTTCTTGAATCAATTGGAAAATTGCATGGTTTTACATGGAAACAGTCTTTGATTTTTAATAAGATTTAGATACAGTGTGGTTTTCTTTGTTTATTCCAGGAGCTTGTTTACCATTATTGTAAATATTCTTTGTCCCTTTGTACTTTTCTGGGCACAGATTATTCTGTGCTGTATAGTATAGTTCTCCAGAGGTAAGAGTCGAGAACTTATTTTGCTGTGGTTATTTGAATAAGAAAAATAAATGACAATTTTGAACAGCAAGCAGTTTTATCTTTCACCTTAGCTCTCGGTTTCTCCGTTACTTCCCCTACTCTAGGTGTCTCTCTACCGATAGGAAGTCATCTACAACTAACAAAACGCCACAGTTAGCATCCCCTGCAACTGAAATCATGTGGAACATAATCCCTAATTGAACAGAATCTCATTCATAATAGAATTGTGTTTGTGTGGAAATAAAATTTTATATTTGGGTATTTGATATTTCTGATTGCCCCCCTCCTACTTCTTTTTCCTAAGTATAAATTTTTTGAAGCAAGAACTATGCCTTTCTGTATACCACAGAGTCTTGGACATTTGATAAATATTCAGGAATTATTTAGTTAATTGGGGAGAGATTAATTCAGTCATTTTGTAGCAGTTTCATATACTGTAAAAAGATAATATTTATTTTTCTGAATATATATTTTTAAGTAAAATATTAAATTTATTATGAGTATCATATTTAAGTATTTCTGTGCAGCATTTCTATTCAAGTTGTTTGAACATTATTTCCTTTTTACAGTGTCTGGCATATGGCTATATTTAGACACATAAGAAACACTTGAAAATTTTAAAATAATGATTGAATTCTGTTGTGTATGGTCAGTGGGCTTTGTTTTTTCTGTCATCTCTATCAGTGGAACATGAGCACTACAATTCTCAGGAACAAATTGTGTGTGTGTGTGTATTTACATTCTATTTGCAGTTTAAAATTTTAAAAGGTAATTTCTATATTTTTATTTTTCAGAACATCTTAGTCGAACCCTCGAGGTCTAATGGAAGTATGGTTCGCCATTCCTCATCTCCATATGTAGTATATCCACCTGATAAGCCTTTCCTTAATAGTGATCTACGACGCTCCCCAAATAAGCCTACATTTGCCTATCCGGAAAGTAACAGCAGAGGTAATAGAGCCTAACAAAATGGATGTGGTTTTTTTTGTTTGTTTATCCACTGCTTTAAAACTCTTGTGTCTTCCATGTATTTTAAAATTAGAGGAGTGGCACCTGGGTGGCTCAGTCAGTTAAGCATTCAACTCGATTTCGGCTCAGGTCATGATCTCAGGGTCATGATTCTCTCTTTCTCCCTGTCTCCCACCCCTACCCTACCCACCCCCCCTGCTCATACACATGCTCTCTCTCTCTCAAAAAAAGAAGAGTATCTATTTCCCCTTACCTATTTTTAACCTCCTCAAAATACAGCACTTTGCTTTTGTTCACTGATTGTTAAACAGTATCATTCACCAAATCATCAAGGCTAAATACTTTGAGAAATTTAGAACTGCTTTGTCATATGCAATATCAGGAACCAAAAATCAGTATTTTTGCCTCTGAAATATCCCAAAGATGTATTAGTTCTTTCTCTTCATTCTCATTGCTTTGGTTCAGACTTTCATCATCTGTTGCATAGATAATTGTGATACACTCCTAAGTAATTGCTTAGCCTGTGGTCTCCCTCTCATCCCCATTTAAACAACATTCCTGCCATCATCTCTCCTACTTTAAAGAAATTTTAGCACCTCTCCATGGCTTACATAACAAAGTCCTAGATGGTTTTTTGTTTTGTTTTAATCTGGACTCTGCCTGCCTGACCAATTTCATCCCTATCTTCTCTTCTGTTCTTCCTTACCCACACATCCTTTGCCCTGGCTACTTTGAAATATATTTGTTCCCAAAACTTGCCATCTGTATTAGCTTTCTTGCTGCCTTAGCAAAGTACCACAGCTCAGCAACTTTAACACAAATGTGTCATCACACAAGTTTCTGTAGGTCAGAAATCTGGATGGGCTTAGCAGGGTCTTATGTTTAGGGTCCCATGAGGCTGAAATCAAGGTGTTGACTGGGCTGTGTTCCTTACTTGAGAGTCTAGGGAGGAATCTGCTCTCAGCTCATTCAGATTTTTGGCTTGTGGTTATAAAGCTGAGGTTCCGTTGTCTTGCTGACTTTTAGTCAGGGCCAGTCTTTCCTCCTAGAGGCTGTCTACATTCCTTTGCTTTCTTTATGGCCCCTTTCAGGAATGGTGGGTCACATGTCTTTCATGCTTCATATCTCTCTGTTCAGGGTCCTTTCCCAAAGTCCTTTAGCCATATAGCAGGTATTCAGGGTTTGAAGGATTTGGACATAGGTATCCTTGGGTGTCCATTCTGGCTGCCACACCAGCCATGTCAAGCTTATAAGTCTTTCTCATGCTGTGCGCTCTTATTGAAATCTTTCTGTTGCAGAATTGTACTCTTTAAAATCCACATTATGTATTAAATTTATTTTGAGAAGTCTTCCTCTCTACCAGCTTCCCCAACACATGGACCTATTCCTGCTCTCCTCAGATGTCTCTTCTAAACTCACTTGGGCCTTCATTTTTTGTCAGGGTAAAGTGAGTAGTGGTTTCCTTGTCTGCCCATCCCATACTGAAGGTACATATCATTGGACTGATAGAAAAAGTACTGTAAAAGCATAATGGATCATAATGAATATCCGGAGGCATTGCTTAAACAGTTCACAACACCATGCTCTGAAGGGATAAGAAATGCTGATTTACTGTTTACACATTATTTTTTCTTTTGTTTACTTTCCTCTTCATCTCCTTTTTCCCTCTTTTCTCACATGTTCTTTAAAACCAATAGTGACACACAGCAGAATGTAGCATTATCGCTAACACACTGGAGTAAACATTTGCTGACCTTCTGCTTTATGAATAAATCTGCCCCATTTAACTTATTCTTTTCATTCTTCAGTAATTACTTTTCTCTGAACTTTTTTTTTTTAAAGTTTCTTTAGATAGAAGGAAAGATCAGACCTAGATACAATATTGTAGTGGAAGAATTGATATCTAATTCCTAGATCTTGTATTCGTGCTAGAACTTTGTTGCATGATTATTTTTGTGTGTGTGCTTATTTTTTAAATAAATTATTACTAAATCTTAACATTTTTATCCAGTGAGCTTCAGTTATTTATTCTTTGCTTTTTTACCATATGTTGTTTGTATGTTATACAACTCTTATTTTTCTAAATTGCCAAAGTCTTTAGCTGCTGTGTTCAGATGAGTAGCATTTTATTACTTGTTTTATTAACCATTGAATTAATTAGCATTTTCTTTATTATCATCATCTTTGAGACACTATATCCTGTAAGTAAGAGGTTTCTGGTTAGTAAGTTGAGCACTGAATATAGATATTCGTGCAAAACACCAGACTTCCATTTGAATGAGTGAAGTCTTAATTTGAATAGATAACTCTACATGATAAACTTTTCTCCTTTACATGTAGTAAATGCTTTTATTGCACTAATACATTACAGTAAAAAAAAAGTCATTCTTTAGTTCTAGTTTAATATATTTTCATTTGGTAAATTACCGTTTCACTTTGCTATCTAATAATCACTTTGAAAATATAGTTTGATTAATGCCATGGAAAGAGGTAATTAAACTATGTTTCTTGTAATTCTCATTTTCATATTCATTTTGAGTTTTAGAAAAGAGATGAGCAAGAAATTGGAAGTTATTACTGGCTTCAAAAAATGTATTGTCCTTGGGACCCCTTTTTTTCCCCTCCCCCTTGGAGCCCTTTAAAAAAATGGTAACTAATGTCAATCCAAAAAAGTTTAACCCATTGTTCATGTTATTTAATACATTTCAAGTGACAGTATTGTGCAGAATGTGAACATTTGAAGCAAGATAACTGTGAGGCAATTCTGCTAGGCCAGTGCTTTCTAAACCTTTCACTTACCCTAGTCCACGTGGAAAATGAAATGGTAACACATGTACAGCACATGGAGATAAACTGATGGGGTTGATGGGAACTAGTCTGGGGTCTTCCACTGTGCCAGGCCACTCATGGCCCCTGTAAGAGCTGAGAGAGAAAACATCTTGACCTATCTATTACAAATTTGTGTCATACCTGTTGGAAAAAGCTCAGCATTATTGTGACCAGTGAGACAAGTCAAGTTATAGCTAGTGTGCTAGGTATTGATAACAATTTACTGCCCATCTGTTCTTCTAAAGCACTGGTTCTCCAGTTTTTTAATTCAGGAAACCCTAATTAACCCACTGCATGTTTACATAAATAGAATCCAGATTTAAAAAATATACTGCTAAGAGTGAAATTGTTTTATTTTATACTTTGTAAATCTCTTATTTCTGGCTTAATAGAAAACTGTTTGATTCTCATTTGTTTTTGCATTCCATTTGTGTTAATAAATTGTTTTAATTGAAGTATGTGAAAAAAATCTGGCCTTACACGGATATGTAGGTAGAAAAGTAATACTTTAATAGCCTTTCCAACAATTTGTGGATATTTTTATTTGATATTACACCAAAACTTGGCAAGTCGTTTCTTAAAATTTAGTGCATTGTGGAATCTGCACATCATTGATTTTTTTCATACTCTGGGACCTCAGGACCACCTACATGGTGGGAGATTAACTCAGAAGACTTACAAGTTTCAGAAGTGGTTGTAATTATGCCTGACGCTTAATACAGTAGAATCTAGAGAAACTGAGATGCAGGCTTCCAAATTTCTCCCTCATGGGGGTCACAGCGAAAAACACTTCTTCCTCTAGCAATAAACTGCATAACATGTGTAGTGTTTCTGCCCAGGAAAGCCTAGTTAAGGCTCAGACACTACGGCTTTTATTTGGAGCTAGTCACACAAACACTTTGCACCTGCACAAACAGTCATGATATTCACCATAAAACACTTTTGTTTACGCAATCAAGGCAGACTTGTGCAGCAGGATTTAGTGCCTTAGACATACAAAACCTTATTAATTAGTAACTTAGGGAACATTCCAAGAGCCTAGTTTCCAGAGGCTAGCCAAGGTTCAGGCGTGGTGTATAAATTTTTTTTGTAAGAATTTATTTTTTAATTGAAGGATAGTTGACATACGTAGTGATTTAACAATCCTATATATTATACTCTTCTCACCACAATAAGTGTAGTTTACTGTCACCATACAGTGTTATTGCAGTATTATCGGTTGTGTTGCCTATGCTGTACTTTTCATCCCTGTGACTTACTATAACTGGAGTTTGTATCTTTTAATCCCCTTCACCTATTCTGCCTTATCTCCCACTCTCCTCCCTTCTGGCAACCACCAGTTCTCTGTATTTATGAGTCTGTTTCTGGTTAGTTTGTTTGTTAGGGTTTTGTTTTTGTTTTTGTTTTGACTCTACATACAAGTGAAACCATACAGTATTTGTCTTTCTGACTTATTTCATTTAGCACAAAACCCTCTGAGTGGACCCATGTTGTCATGTATGGCAAGATTTCGTTCTTTTTTGTGGCTGAGTAATATTCCATTATGTATATATGTGTGGAATATGTAATACCCCACTGTATATACCACATCTTCTTTATTCATCTATGGATGCATGCTTAGACTAGCTATTATAAATAATGCTGCAGTAAACATAGGAGTGCATGTATCTTTTCAAATTAGTGTGTTTTCTTTGGGTAATCAGTAGTGGAATTACTGGATCATATGGTATTTCTTTTTTTTTTTTTAAGGAACCTCCTTAATGTTTCTACAGTGGCTTCCCCAGTTTATATTCTTATCAGCAGTGCATGAGGGATCCCTTTTCACATCCTTGTCAACACTTGTCATTTCTTGTCTTTTTGGTACTAGCTCTTCTGACTAGTGTGAAGTGATATAGTGGTTTTGACTTGCATTTCCATGCTGATTAGTGATGTTGAACTTCTATCTGTTCATGTGTCTGTTGGCCATCTATATGTCTTCTTTGGAAAAATGTCTATTCATGTCTTCTGCTCATTTTTGATTGGATTATTTGTGGGGTGTTTTTTTTGGTGTTATGTTTTAGGAGTTCTTTGTCTATTTTGGACATTAACCCCTTATCAGCATACATGATTTACAAATACCTTCTGCCATTCAGTAGGTTGCCTTTTCGTTGTGTTGATGGCTTCCTTTGCTGTGTAAAAACTTTTTAGTTTGGTATAGTCTCAGTAGTTTATTTCTGCTTTTGTTTCCCTGACATAAGGAGACTTATCCATAAAAGTGTTGCTAAGGCCAGTGTCCAAGAGATTACTGCTTATATTTTCTTTTAGGAGTTTTATAGTTTCAGGTCTCAAAACATTTAGGTCTTTAATCCATTTTGAGTTTATTTTTCTGTATGGTGTAAGAAAGTGGTCCGGTTTCATTCTTTTGCATATAGCTGTCCAGTTTTCCCAGTACCACTTATTAAAGAGTCTGTCTTTTCCCCAGTGTATGTTCTTGCCTCCTTTGTCACAGATTAACTGATCATATAAGTTTAAGTTTATTTCTGGGCTCTCCATCCTATTTCATTGATCTGTGTGTTTATTTTTGTGCCAGTACCATACTGTTTTGATTACTATAGCTTTGTTGTATATTTTGAAATCTGTGATTGTGATACCTCCAGCTTTGTTTATCTTTCTCAAGATGGCTTTGGCTATTTAGGGTCTTTTATGGTTCCATATAAATTTTAGGATCATTTGTTCTAGTTCTGTGAGTAATACCAGTTGGTATTTTGATAAAGATTACATTTAATCTGTAGATTGCTTTTGGCAGTAGGGACATTTTAACAATTCTTTGAATCCATGAGCATGGTATGTCTCCGTTTTTTTGTGTTGTTGAGAAACGTTGAAATAATTTGGTGATATATAAGCCATTCCAGAATGTAGAAAAGGAGAGTATATACCTCATATTGGGTCTTTTTATTAATCCAGCACATCTTTGATACTACATTTGCTGACATACAGAAATAAAATGGTGTGTTCCAGCCAATTGCTCTAAAAGCTGTAAGTGCAGAAATAAAATACTGGCAAAATCATTCACTGTGAGGTATAATCTAATGAAGGAATGCAAGAAATGTTTGGTATTACAAAGTTTTAGTAGTTCAGAAGAGGTTTAAAAAAACCTGAATTGATGGGGCGCCTAGGTGGCACAGTTGGTCGGGTATCCGACCCTTGGTTTCAGCTCAGGTCATGATCTTGTGGGATCGAGCTCCACATCAGGCCCTGTGCTCAGAGAGCAGAGTCTGCTTGAGTTTCTTTCTCCTTCTCCCTCTGCCCCTCCCCACCGTGTTCTCTCTGTCTGGAATAAATAATCTTGAAAAGAAAACCTGAATTGATATTTAAAGGCATATATTAATTTTCCCATCTCCTATTGCATTTATCTAATTACTCCAGGTTTTTTAGAGAATAGTTCCTTTAAATACTAATCTTTTATTTTTAAAGTAATCTCTATACCCCACACAGGGCTTAAATTTACAACCCCAAGCTCAAGAGTCACATGCTCTACCTACTGAGCCAGCCTAAATACTAATCTTAAATCTGGACTCTTTTCCTCTTCTCCTAGTCTTTTCCATTGATTTTTCAGGTTTCTGCATTGTATGTGTTTCATTTCTGTGTTCTAATTACACTGTAGTCCATTGCATAATAGAATAAGCTGACTATATTATAAAATGTATCAGTCTTCCTGTTTGGGGCCTGTAACATTCTAGGCCCTAAAAATTCGGTGAATGAATGAATTACATTAATAAACGGAAAAGTATACCTTGTTTTGAGTAAGAAGCCTCGATTTTTACAAGATGACAGTTCTTCCTACTTATTATATGGTTTACATGACGTTTCATGTAAGTCATTGTTTAGGCGAAATGTTTCTGAATATTTAATTGGTAAGAATAAATTTGAAATGTTTTAAAGATTTCTGTAGTGTGAGAGACTGGCAGTATCGATGTTTATAAGGTTTTAATAGTTAAAACACTAGAACAATAATAATAATGAAATCAGAATAAAAGCCCTGAAACTGTGGTTTCAGGTATGTGTGTGTGAAACTTTGTAGTGGGTATGTGTGTGTGAGTAATAATTACATCTGTATATATTGGTACCTTTGTGAATTTGGTATATGATACAGATGCCATTTAAAGTTCTTCCTTCAATACCAAAGTAACTTACTTCACTTAAAGAATTAAATGTAAACATATGTGAAACTATAAGTACAATAAAGGAAAATATAAAGTTTATATATTCTTGAAGTTATAGAAGAATGTTCTACCTATATAAAGAACTTGATGTGAAGTATTGTTATGATGATATGAAAAATCAGAACATCTTTATACCGAAACTGACAACATCTAAATTGGCAGCTACGTTTTCTGGAATTAAAGACCGATGATAAAGTGATGGGGGGACTTTTTCTTAAGGAATTCAAAAGAAAATTAACCAATTGTATATATAAATTTTTAATAGAAATGCAAAATGAAATAACCAGAAGTAGCTTTTGTTTTTTAATCAAAATAACAGAAATACTGTAATTAATAATGGTATGTGTTGCCAAAGACACATACATCTGGTGAAAGTATATATTGATACAGCCTTTTATGAAGGTACCTTTTTTCAAGAGCCTTTCTAATACGGGTATTTTTTTGACCCAGCAACTTAATTTTCAGTTTTTAATTATTGATTATGAGGAAGTATTCTTTTAAAATTATCTGATTGTATGAGGGAATGCTCACAGTTTCATAGTGCTAAAGTGAAAAAGAAAACTTAGATAAATTTTGATCTCAATTTATTTTATGCATATCAAAAAAGATTGAAAGCAATAGCCAAAGTGATAGTCATTATCTCTTGGTAGTAGGAGTATACGTTGTCCTTTTTGTTGTATTTTCCTGTGCTTTCTATAGGGAATGTGTATTACTTTTATAATCAGAAACTTTGGGTGGGGGGGCAGTTTAAAGAATGATTAGAATTTTTCCTATATAATGAAAAATTGAGATTTAAAAAAATAGTCCTTCTTGTGCTTGAGATCTTTAACTCTGCAGTTGGATTCTGCATATGATCCTATTAATGAAACAGAAGAAGGATTGGTAGTTAATGTACTTTTGGACAGTTAGGAATTTTGTATGATTAGCTAAATATTTTTACCATTTTATAAAATCTTTAAAATGTTTTACCATAATTTGGTTTTTGAGTAGTGCATTTCAGAGACTCAGATTATGTCTTTAAATGGATTTAAAAAAAAAAAACAAAACAATTATGTGGCAATAATTAGCATTTCATTTTTCCCAAAGAGTGATTCTCCCCTGGGCCCACCCATATTTTATTTTTTATTTAGATGAGTTCTTTTTTTTTTCATTGAACTTCCATATATATTATTCATGTTTGGATTTGGCAGCTATATTTTCTGCTCTGAAGAATCTTCAAGATAAGATTCGACGCTTGGAACTTGAAAGGATTCAGGCAGAAGAAAGTGTGAAAACCTTGTCTAGAGAAACAATTGAATATAAGAAAGTATTGGATGAACAGATACAAGAAAGAGAGAATTCAAAGAATGAGGAGTCAAAGCACAATCAAGGTTTGTTTAATTATGAAGGAAATGAAACCTACAAATACACAAAATACAAAATGAAATACGCAAAATAAGTATTGTAAAATTATTCTAAAAGCAATTTCATGTTCGTATTTTCTAGTAGTCAGTCTCTTTGGGCACTCCAGAATTGCATTATACCCAAGTGCATTTTGAAGAGCACATCCTGATGGTCCTGCATTATATTTACTGACCAAATTCAAGACAAATTGGACCTAGCATATAGGAAGAGAATGACTTAGATCATCTGAATAGGCTTCTAGAACTACTGGAAAGTGTTTGTTGTATACACAGTAGAGTTAATTCCCATTAAACAGCTTGTTACAACTGTTCCATGAGTGAGTTAATTTATGCTTTTCTTACGTATTCTTTTTAGAACTGACCTCTCAGTTGTTAGCTGCAGAAAATAAGTGTAATCTTTTAGAAAAACAGTTGGAATACATGCGCAATATGATAAAGCATGCAGAAATGGAAAGGACATCTGTCTTAGAAAAACAGGTATGATACATCACAGATTCGTTTTCAGGAACAATTAGTTATGGGGAAATTAGACTGACCTAAAGATCTTTTTTCTCAGTAAAGACTCGGTTCTGTTATAATCAATCATTTCTCCTTTTATCCTAATCACTGATAGCAATCCCAGTAGTTCATCTTGAGGAACAACTAGTGTAAGCTTTGAGGGAAAATGCGATTTGTTTCTTCAGCATAGCTGTAAAGAGGTTTCCTTTTTTGGGCGCCTGGGTGGCTCAGTTGGTTAAGCAACTGCATAAAATCTTTAAAAAAAAAAAAAAGAGATTTCCTTTTTGGCTGACCTTCACACAGCCTGCCGTATCCTCTGCATACAGCTTTGATAGCTTCTGGCTTTTGAACAGTGTAACAGCCCAAGACTGAAATTACTTGAATCATTTATAGGGTGGAGAAGGGGTTAATCAGTTCAATCTGCCATATGATTGGAAATGGGAAACATTATACACAGTAATATAGTAACTCTTTCATGGGGGTTATTGCAGTTCTTAGGTTAGAAAGCATCTACAAGAGAAGAGTAAAATGTTTTGATTAGTGTATCTGTTAGGCATATATAATAAATGTCTTTGAACTAATAACCTTGTTTCATTAGTAAGTTTTAAATAGCCCATTTCATAAGAATGGTTCCAAAACTGGAAATAAAATATGATTTATGCCAATTTTTAACAGTGTATTTTTTAGGGCAGTAACTATCCACTAAGGTGGATTTGAGGGAATTGATAGTTCACACAAATTCCTGGGAAAATTACAGTTTTACTTTATCTTACTCAAATTTCTGTTAGTATGACACTTATTGCCATAGTCTTATAGATGAAGATATACTGTTTAAAAATTTAGGTACTTAGTGTTTTGGCTTTTTTTTTACCAACAGACCTCAATTTAGCCTAGTTTAATGGTTTACTCTGTGACTGTAGGATGGTAGTCTTTTCAAAGCCTTGACACTAAACCTAAAAAAATAATAATAGAGGTTTTGCATAGAATTCAGAGGAAGTATAAATGATAGATACAAAAAAACATAATTATTACCTTAATTAAGAGATTAACTGTGTAAGAGAACCAGACTCATTGAAAGTATTGGTCTATATGTATCTGATAAATCCCTGCTATCTCAGAGTGTAATGAAAGTCTCAGTATATGGACCCAATTATTATAATAGTATATGGTAAGAACAGGATTCCGCTTGTATTTATTTGTTTTCTCCCTGTGGTTTCATCTTGATATTGTTCTTCTAGAATTTCTCTATAGTATCTAAGTACTTCTATGAAAGGCCAGACAAATATAGTATATGCCCAGTGTCAGTTGCTTTTTGTTTTGTCAAATTATGCTGTGTTTAATACTGTTCCCCAGGTTTCCCTCGGAAGAGAACGACAACATGATCAAACACATGTGCAGAGCCAGCTTGAAAAGTTGGATCTTCTGGAACAGGAGTATAACAAACTTACCACAATGCAGGCCCTGGCAGAAGTCAGTGAATGTTTCTTTTACTCATCAGTGCATAATATTGGTTCTTTTGTAAAATTGATCATTTTAAAATACTGGATATTCATAGGAAGAAAAGTGACCTTGTAGGAAAGAAACGGGAATTTTTAAAGGATAAAAATGTACATTTAGAGAAAGGGTTCACATCTTATAATCTTGATGTACATAAGGAAGTAGTTCTTTCTGAAAATGTTGGAAGCTTAAATGTTTTTGATCATCCTTAAGGCTTGAATTACTTGGTTTAAGTTGTTCTCTTTAGTTTTAATTGATTCACTTGGGAAGTTTTTAATACCACTGAGATTTAAGTTCCCAATTTAGCTTCCATGTATCCTATATGCCTTCATACAGAGCTGTGTTTTTTAGCCATAGATTTTACCCATAATTCTGTTCAACTGCCTCACAGCTACTTCACAAATGACTAATAATGAATCACAAAGGAGAGTGTCATGGTTATTGGCAAGCACAGTGTCTTTACTAGAGTGAACTAACAAGCACATATTTACTGTGCTAAAATTTTATAGCGGATTACTATGTTGCTGTATTAAAATTTTACATAAAGACACTAAACCTTTTCACTAACCACTTTTAATATTTTTATCACTAGAAAAAAATGCAAGAGTTGGAAGCAAAACTCCGTGAAGAAGAACAGGAAAGGAAACGTATGCAAGCTAAGGCAGCCCAGGTAAGTTGTAGTGTCAGCAGGTAGGCTCCTCATATTTCATACTTTATATATAAAAAAAAGATTAAATGTGGGCTTCTTAGATTATTTATATTTTGGAATAGCCCAGTATATAAATTGTCAGACACAGCCTGGTATGGAAAATTACAAACCTATATTTTTACAGACAGAGTAAAAGTTGAGCAGTTTTTAGAGTTGTTCAAATTGTGGGGTTTCAATCAGCATTTTAAAAAAATCAATAGACTAAAAAACATCAAAGATATAGTATATATAATAAGGTAATACTTAATCATGTAAAATTTCTCACATGGGACACTACTGGAAATGTTTGAAAGCCATCGTGTAGTTTCCTTCTTACACATTTTCCTTTTCCTTGGTGGCCTCAAAACACCAGGACAGAAATTGAGGTAATGGGCTACCCCAATAGCTAGTGACCCATCCTAATTCACAAAAGCTACCATATAAGGAAAGCGAGCTCTGTTTGCTCCTAGTCTTTGTTTTTATCCCATTCATTGGCTACCAGATGGAATAGGTGAGGCACTGTGAATTCACAGAAACACTGAGTTTATGTGTACCAACCAGAACTGCCTTTCTAAAAGATACAGTAATACTTTTGTATGCCATAAGTCTTAAAAATAAACACCCTGTTTGTAACTGAAGACTCTCTTAAGAGCTTATTTATTCAAATACCTCCCATATATTGCCCTCCCACTTCAAAGTCTTTAAGTTTTATAAATTTGTATGTGTCTCTTCTCATCATATTAACACAAGAAGCAGGTCTTGATTCCAAAACAGTTAGGAATGGAGGCTCTGCAGTTCAGGCTGTGGTCCGATGCCAGCGGATTCCTGAGCTCAGTTCATGTATGGGCTCACAGGACTGTAAACATTGTTATTTTTGTCGTCTTGTCTACTTCTTCCATTACTTCCCAGAGCTCACTGAGTTAACATAATCTCTATTAAACCTGATGTATTTTCTTTCTCAAATATTTACCTTCTGATCAATTTGTATACTTTTGTTTTTATTATTTTATTTATTTTTTGCTTCAGTGTGCTGAGTTATATAGTCATGTGGCTTTATTTTCGATCAACAAATTTTGAAATTACTTGGTTTCTCTGCCCATTCCACTTTAGGGTAGGGCACTTTACTGTGTCTCCATTTCCTCACTTGTAACATGCAAACTCATGGATTGTGCTTTATATACATTGTGGTGGTGAGTTCTATTGTACATGAAATAAAAATTAAGTTCATTATTTTATTAACTTAAATTTTAATTTACAATATTTCGCTTTCTTTTTTCATTTCTCAGGCATAAAGAAGGGACCAAATAGTTATTACTGATAATATAATAAAGGTTTTGAATTCTTTTTCAGTAAAGGTTTTGAGTTCTGATAGTGAAAACTATTATAGTGGAATAACAATGACCAGGGATCGTACATGGTTCCAAGTCAAGCTTTTTTTTTTTTAAGATTTTATTTATTTGAGAGAGTGTGAGCACATGGTTGGGGGGAGGTGTAGAGGAGGGAGATAGGGAGAAGCAGACTCCCAGTGAGCAGGAAACCAGATGCTGGGCTCCATCTCAGGACCCCGGGATCATGACCCTGAGCCGAAGGCAGACGCTTAACCGACTGAGCCTCCCAGGCATCTCCAAGTCAAGTTAACCTTAACTTTCGCAGTCTCGGGCAAGATATTTAACGATTCAGAGCTTGGATTTTAACATTGATTAAGTGGTCTTCATATTATATCTTCCTAGTATTGGAGAGATCAAACGAGAAAAGACAACGAAAATACTTTAAAATGGTAAAATTCTGCCACAAAAATAGATAACCACTACCAGGAGGAACTAAATAAACTAGAAGTTAATTTTCAAAAAAATTGTTCTTTTTATGCTAGTCAAACTCATTTGGCTTCATAGGTATTCCAGAGTAGTAATTTTATGTTCAATGAATTCTGTCTATTCAGTTTACTATATATAAAGCATTGTTAGATGTGTGGGAATGTAGGTGCTCCTGAGGGTAGGCATCTGCCTAATGAATGCAGTCATTGTAGGAATTACTAGTATTCTATTTCTTTAATCCATTGGTTCTGAGTGTTCGTTCCAGCTCCATCATAATTTCCTGGGGAACTTTAAAGTACTTTTTAAAACAATGAGGTTCAGAGAAGATCATGACAATCTGAATGTTTCTCATAAACTCCAAATGATTTTGATACACAGGCTGGTTTGAAAACCACTATTGTAGACAAATACAATTGTTTTTTGGGGGTTTTTTTTGTTTGTTTTTTGTTTTTTTTTAAGGAAATCTGTAAGTTGGTTTAGGGAAGGCACCAGTCCTTGTTTGATATCCCTAGTAATTAGTTATGGAATTTCTACCATGTGCTTAGGAAACTATTTTTAAATTTATGTAGCACTAAGCTTCTGGAGAAAAGGGCATAATAGCATTTGCTGTGACATACCTTTCAGGTCTTTTGGACATAAATTTCCGATTGTCTTAAATTGTAAGAGTATGAGTTTTTTAAAGAGGAAGAAATGTATTTTTTCTCCAGCTGCTTTGTGTCTGGCACTGATGTGGTTGCCATGTGTAAAAAAGAAGAAAATACTGAAGCATTCGTTTGGAGTTAGATATATTGCATTTAACTCATTAGGTCTAATTTATGGAACAACTGCAAATAATGGAGCTAAAGGGTTCCAAGCTTAAAAAAAAAAAAATAACATAGCACTTAAAGATAAAATGAGAGACTTGTATTGATTTAAAATATTTGCTAAATGTTGACAGATTGATTCACAGATTGATTCAAGACAGGTTACACAGCTATGATGTGTTTTTCAATCAGATACTATAAGGTTTTTACAGGTCTTTACATGGCAAATCTCAAATTTAAATAATAGCTTTTCTTTCTATAGCATTAACTTTATATTGTCCTATTTTTCTTAGTTGCAGACTGGTCTAGAAACAAATAGAATTATCTTTGAAGATAAGGCAACTCCATGTGTTCCCAATGCAAGAAGAGTTAAAAAAAAGAAGTCAAAACCACCAGAAAAGGTACGAAAATGGGACCAGTAAGTCAAAGTGCTGATTATTACTTAGCGTAATTTATGTGAAAGTACTCATAAAACAGTATGGTACATCAACCTTGGATAAGGAGATCTCTTTCATTCAGTTTCATTGGGATAAGTAATAACTACATATAAATTTTTACCTTGATAGATCATATGAAAGCATTTTAGAACTGCAAAACACTACACAAATCTTAATTATTCAGTATTGCTTTAACGATTTTTTACTCTTAAAATGTTTTTAGGTGTATGTAACTATACATACATCACATACATACACACTCTGTTTCTTTACTGAGACTGTAATTGCTGTTTTGGCAGGTACTATTTTTTCCTCCCTAGCCTTTCGTAGGCTAGGATGCAAGTTGCCAAGTATTATTAGGAGCTCGAGAACATTCCAGTATCGATAAAGCAAGTAGTAGCCCAGCAATAAGGTGAAATTCCAGGTTAGTGGTGTATGGTCAGCTTTTATCATCATGTGAGTAAACTTGTTTTTCTTTCCTTTCCATTCAGAAAGGTTCTAGGAACTATTTTGCTGCACAACCACATTATAGATTATGCTTGGGGGATATGCCTTTTGTAGCTGGAAAGGTGAGTTGGTCAAAGTCTGGATTTTTTTTTTTTCTTTACAGCTTAGCTCTTTGAATTAAATCAACTCTTACACCTGTATGCCTATAAATGTTGAAAACATTTTTCTGCCCCTTTGCGGGTATGGATCATAGTGATGTGAGAACGAGATAGAAGGTTTTATGGGATTTGGGGGAGCAGTGAAGAGACTAGGGGGACTTTAAAGCCGGTAAAGCGTATGTGCAAGGAAAGTTATGAACAAAATCCGACACCCTGGTTTGGAGAAGGGGTGTTTGCAGATAGGAGTAAATGAAATAGGAAATAGTAATTTGTAGCATTGGGTTTTTAGTATCAATCTTGTTTAAATATAGGTAGATATTTAAATAAATAGAAATCACATACTGTTTGTCCTCACATGCGTATTACTTACAGAACTCATTCTTCAAGAGGCAGTCAGAAATAGACTTGAATCTTCTGTTCCTTGAGTGTTTAAATGTAGAGATGATAATTTTGTCAAATATCAGCAAGTACTGGGTCATTTCTAATAAATGCTTAACACTGTGTTAGTTTAGGGGCACCTGGGTGGCTCAGTTGGTTGAATGGCCGACTCTTGATTTCAGCTCAGGTCATGATCTCAGGGTCCTGGGATCAAGCCCTAAGTCCTACTTTGCACTCAGCAGGGAGTTTACTTGAGATTCTCTCTCCCCCTTCCCTTCTCCCCACTCGCTCTCTAAAATAAATAATTTTTTTTTAAATACATCTGATGAGACTTCCTTAATTCTAGACCACTTTATTTGAAAGTTCCTAAATAAGTTAAAATCTTTCACTGTACATTCTCGTCGTTCTTTTTCTGCTCTCAGAGATCCACATAGAACAAATGAGCCCTTGACTGTAGGGAAATTTTAAATATTTAAATTGTTATTTGAAAATAACTTTATCTTTATTCTCATCTTCTTATTCTATTCTAGGTTATAAACACTTCCGTTTTCTTCAGCTATTCGGGATGTGTTTTATGAGTTTCTTTACCTCATCACTCTCTTCCTTTCTAAATGTGGTGTGACTAGCACAGAATAGAGACTTTGTCATCTTTGAAAGTCTGTCAGCCTAGCATATTAATGTTCTGGGGGAAGCCACATCATCCCTCCCTCTCATTAATTTTAGAGTCAACTGAAGTAACAGGTGTTTTCCTAAATCTTTCCATTAGCCTCTTTAGTGTTGGTCCTATACTTGTAGATTTAATTATTTTATACAGAATTTGTAAGTAAATGAAATTCTACAGGAATAGATTCACCCTATCCCACATTACATTAGAATCTAGTTCATTAGTTGTGTTATCTCCAAATTTAATTGCCTGTCTTCGATAATTCTCATTGAATTCATTAATATAAAGGTTAAACAGGACAGGTTCAAAGACGAGGCTTTTCAACCTAAACTCCTTCTGAAGTAATTTGTACTGAGCCCCTCATCGGGCTTCCTGCTTAGTGGGGAGTCTGCTTCTCCCTCTCCCTCTGCTCCTTATGCTCTCTCTCTCACTTGCTCACTCTCTCAAATAAATAAAATCTTTAAAAAAATAATTATTCAAATAGCTAAGAATGTGCTGTCACCTAGCCGAGTGTTCCTCAAATTCTCTATTGTGAAGGATCAGTTTTTATTTTTAATTATATGTTGTCATAGACCAGTGCACTTATAAAATGCAATAAAAATGAATTACTAGAAAAATGAAATTAAAAAGACATAACATACACATCCTGAGTTTTAAATTATAGATTGAACAGATAAAAAATTACATTAATACATACAATCAGAAAAATAACAGGAAAAGGAATTTTAAAAACTATATACTGCTTATTGAAAGCATACATAGGCAATTATTATAGCCAATACATATTACAAGTTACAAGCGGAATAGTGATTTCACATACATATTTTCACACTTTAAATGAATACCATGTGTATCAGCATTTAAATTGTGAATGAGACAAGTGAATTTGGTTCTTGATAATCAAGGTTGTATTGATGACTGCAGAGTTGCAAGAGAGAATGTATATCTAAACCATTTTAATTGTAGGTGAATTTAAATCATCTTGATAAAAACATAGACTTTAATTCTGAAATGATTCTAGATTTATAGGAAGTTGCAAAAATAGTAAAGGGTCCCATGTACCTTTATCTGGTGTACCGCAACAGCGGTACATTACATAACATAGTATAGTTTCACAACCAGGAGATTAGCACTGGTACAATCCACAGACCTTACTGAGATTTCTCTAGTTTCACATGTCCTTGTTGGTGTGTACATGTGTATACACATGTGTGGGTTTAGGTCAATGCGATTTTATCACATTTATATTCGTGCAACCACCACTCCATATCTAGTTTTGCCATTTCAAAAATGAGAATCATGCAGGATGTAACCTTTTTGAGATTGACCTTTCACTCAGTATAAATCCCAGGATTCATCAAATTGTTGTGTGTATCCATAGTTCCTTTCTTTTGGCTGAATATCCCATGGTGTGAATGTACCACAGTTTAATGATTCACCCATTGAAGGACCTTTGGGTTGCTCCAAGTTTTTGGTGTTCACAAACAAAACCAGTATAAACATTGTGTACAGGTTTTTGTGTGGACATAAGTATTCATTTCTGTGGGATAAATGTCCGGGAATGTGATTGCTGGATTGTATGGTTTTTAAACTACCCAGTTATTTTTGAGTGATTGTACCATTTTTCATTCCCGGTAGCAATGCCCAAGAGATGAAGTTTTTCCCCATCCTTACCAGCATTTAATATTGTCACTTTTTATTTTAGCTGCTTGCTGAGTATGATATCTCATTGTGCTTTTAATTTATATTACACTAATGATGGTAGTCCTGTTCTTTTCATGTGCTTATCTACCATCCATATATTCTCTAATGAAATATTTATCTACATTTCTTGCCCTTTTTTAATTGGGTTGGTTATTTTGTTTTTTTTTTTACTGTTAGGTTTTGAGAGTTCTGTATTTTGATAAAAGTCATATGTCAGATACATAGTTTGCAAGTATATTCTCCCAGTCTTTCTTCCTCTTACAGAGTTTCACAGAGCAGCTTTTTGTTTTGATGAAATCCAGTTAATTGATTTTTGCTTTTTATGGATCATGTTTTTGCTGTCAAGTCTAAGAACTCTTTGTCAGGACTGACATCCTATAGATTTTCACTTATGTTTCATATATATTTTATAGTTTTATATTTTACATCTAAATCTGTGATCTACTTGAAACGATTTTTGTATACAGTAAGAGGCTTGTTAGGTCAAGGTTTATTTTTGATTCTGTTCCATCGATATAGGTGTTTACCTCTTTGCCAGTACCACACTGCCTCGATTACTGTGGCTTTTTATAATAAGTCTTAACATCAGGCGAAGTGATTCTTTTCTCTGTTCTTTTTCACAATTGTTTTAGCTCTTCTAGTTTCTTTGACTCTTCATATGAATTCTAGAATAAACTTGTCTCTGTCTACAAAAAAAAAAAGTCTTGTTACAATTTTGATAGGAATTATATTATACCTATAGATCAGCTTAGGAGAATTGACGTCCTTATTATGTTGAGTCTTCCAGACCATGAGTACAGTATAGCTTTTATTTATTTATTTAGATCTTTGATTTCTTTCATCAGTATTTTGTGGTTTCCGGCATATTGGTTCCATGTCTATTTTATTAGATTTATGGTCACGTATTTTTTTTTTTTGGAGCAAGTGTAAGTTGTATTTAGTTTTAATTTAGTTTCTATGTGATCATTGCTAGTATATTTAGTTTTTGTATGTTGAACTTACATTCTGTGATTTCACTGAATTACTTACTAGTCCTAGGAATTATTTTTTGGATTGGTTTGGATTTTCTATGTAGAGAAGCATGTCATCTCTAAATAGGGACTGTTTTTTTTCTTTTTAATTTGCATGCCTTCTATTTCTTTCTCTGCCTTAATGCACTAGCTAGGATTTCCAGTATTACATTAAGCAAGAGTGATGAGAGTGGACATCCTTGCCTTTTTTCTGATCTTAAGTGGGGGGAGAACATTAGCATTCAGTCTCACCAGTAAATAGGTGTTAGCTGTAGCTTCTTTGTCAATGCTCTTTATTTAAGGAGGAAATTTCCTTCTGTTTCTACTTTGCTGAGAGTACCTGATTGAGCGTTGGATATTTTCAAATGCTTTTCTTCATTAAATGATATGGTTATGTGATTTTTCCTTTTTACTGTTGATATGCTACATTACATTGATCGATTTTTTAAAATAATTGGACTAGTCTTGAATTCCTGGAACAAACCCAACTTGGATATGGTATACATACTTCTTCATATATAATGCTCAATTCAGTTTGCTACCTAACAATAGAAAGTAGGATAAAAGAGAGTATCCGTTAGCATAGTGGTTTTCAAACCTGCTGGTCAGAATCAAGTGGCAAACTTAAAAATACACATTTCCAGGCCTTGACCCCACACTGATTGAGTTTGGAGTGCTACCTAGGAATCTGCATTTTAAACAAGATGATGCTCCTGGAGCCAAGTTAGTCCAGCCATCTGTTTGTATATTGAAATAGCTTATGGAGATTATTGTTTAATATTCAAAACTGGAAATTTTGAGAAGGATAGGTTTTTCCTATTGTGTATGTGACAAGGATGAACTTAGTGCATCTTACTCTTTGAGGATAGAGAAATGAATTTGACAACAGTCCCTACCACCTGGAAGTACATACACTACTTATTAGGTGAAATAAATGCGCAAACGCAATTGTAATATATGTGATAAACACTATGATAGAGATAAATGCTGTAGGTGATCTGAGAATGGACTACTTAATTGGACCAATTTGTTACCTGGAGGTTTTAAGGAAGTCTTTAAAAGTTAATATATTTGAACTGGGTTTTAAGGAATGGGAAAAATGTTGGCCACACAGAAGAAATGGGTATGTGCAAATACAGTTTATTTAAATAATGCAGATTTTCAGAGAGAGTTCAGTGATTCCTCAGTTGCATACAACACCCGGTGCTCATTACTTCCACATGCCTTCCTTAATGCCCACCACCCAGTTACCCCCACTCCCCTCCCCTCCAGCAGCTCTGTTTCCTAGAATTAAGAATCTGTCATGGTTTGCCTCCCTCTGTTTTCATCTTACTTTATTTTTCCTTCCCTTCTTCTGTGTTCATCTGTTTTGTTTCTTAAATTCCACATATCAGTGAAATCATGTAGTATTTGTCTTTCTCTGACTTATTTCACTCAGCATAATACCCTCTGGTTCCATCCACGTCGTTCTATGTTAATAAAGCAGAGAAGTCAGGGGATGGTGGGACATACGGCCAGGGGGTACCAGTTGCAGCTCAATGATAGGAGACTTTTTTCTATGCTCAGGAGTTTGGACATTAGAGTTAGTGGGCTTAACATCAAATATTTCAAGTAGGAGAACAACCTGACATGACTATTAGAGTAATATTTTAGGAGGAGAGCCGATAGCACTATGGAGTTAAAGACTGAACACATTGGGGGCAGGGAGGCCAAATGGAATCTTCCTGTAGCAATTAGAAGTGGTTCAAGGGCTTGACAGTAGGGTGGAGACTAAGAGGTGGATTAGAGATATTTCAGAGGTTAAATGGGACTTGGTATTTGGATTTACTCTAGGAGATTTAGATCTTAGCCTCTTTATGGGTGGGGGTTTTTTTACTCAGCTTAGGGAGTAAACAGAAAAACAGATTCAGATGATGTGGCTTCAATTAATTCTCATTTTTCTTCAGTCCACCAGTCCTAGCCATGCTGTGGTAGCCAATGTTCAGCATGTCTTGCATCTACTGAAGCAACACAGTAAAGCCCTGTGCAATGATCGAGTGGTCAACAATGTTCCTTTGACAAAGCAAGGTTCTTCACGAAGTGGTAAAAGTAAGAAGTTGTCAGTAACGCCTTCCTCCTCCAACAGCATTAATGAAGAGTTATCAGAAGTCTTACAGACTTTACAAGATGAATTTGGGCAAATGAGCTTGTGAGTTTTAGTTTTGGGTTTTTTTTTTTTTTTAATTACATTTAGTTCTAGGGACACCTAGGCGGCTCAGTCAGTTAAGCATCTGCCTTTGGCTCAGGTCATCCCGGGGTCCTGGGATTGAGCCCCACGTTGGCCTCCGTGCTCAGCGGGGAAGCTGCTTCTCCCTCTGCTCCTCCCTGCTGCTTGTATTCTCTGCCTCTCAAATAAATAAAATATTTTTTTAAAAAAATTACAGTTCTAAAACTTCATTTTAACTGCTCGGTGACTTCATTAATTGTTAATTTGTTCAGCAAATACCTGAGCACAGTCCTTGCACCAACCACTGAGTAAGTTACTAGGACCTTAACAAATACAACTGTTCTGGGGGAAATCTCTCCCTTTTCTAATACTGTTAAATGCTTTCAAGACCAAGGTTTACATTTAAGTTTTATTTCCTTATTCAGGAGTTTGATAGACATTGAGTTTAGTTAAATGATAAGTTAGGATGTATCTAAGGAACAAGATCCTTTCTTTCCAGGCTTTCCTTTTTACATGCATACTATTCTGGAGGAGGTAGGAATATAAATAATTAGGTCTTTGAAATTAAGAACTCCTTTTGTGTTTGCCTCCAGTGCCTTTCTTGAACCTTTAAACCATCTTGTTGCTCTGTTTAAGAAATTGAGTCATTTTTTATTGCATGGAGCAGTGGTCCCATGGTGAGTGAGTTGTGGTGGACCTAACCACGAAACCAGAAACTTAACCAAGCCCTGCTTTTATTTTTTGTATAGTGATCACCAGCAGCTTGCGAAACTTATCCAAGAATCCCCAACTGTTGAACTGAAAGACAACTTAGAGTGTGAACTGGAAGCGTTGGTGGGGAGGATGGAGGCCAAAGCCAACCAAATAACTAAAGTTCGAAAATACCAAGCCCAGGTAACTACAACTCAATTTCCCTTTCCCTGTTTCTAATGATTAAAAAACAAGAACAAGGCAGAACCAAAAACCCTTTTCCTCGATGACACTGAAGTGATCACAGTTCGGGAGCTACAGGGAGCATTTTATTACTGTAGACACTGATTCGGTCCCTTCGTTATTAAGAATTGGTGTTCAGTGGGCTAGGAAGGAAGACGTCTTGTAATCTGTGAGACTAGATTTTATCATCAAAGATACATCTTTCAAATACTGAATATATTTAATATTCTTATCTTTATATGAACAAACCTTAACTTCCGTGATGAATTTAAACGGTTCTAAATTTACCTAAGTCTTTTGAAAGCACTTGGAAATTCTTGATTTCCAAAGGAATAAGTCAGATATAAATATGTGAAAAAAATCTTCAGTTATATTTCTGTTGCAGCCATTTAATATCTACTAAGTGCAGTGAGAAGGCACACTCCAGGGTTTTCGTCTGGAGAGAAACGTAATGATTCGTGGCTTAAGAGATTGCTGTGACTGCTGGGAGTGGGCTGGAGACCAGCTGGGCAGGGTGAAGGTCTTCTCTGTCAGAGGTCATCAGTGACTGCAGTGGGGGAGAAGCGGACAGATTGGAGGTGTGCTTTAGAAGTAGAAAGATCAGGGCGACTTGCTGCTGAGTATCATTTGGACGGAGAGTGTGGCCGTACCACTGATGGAAATGGAGAAAGACTGGGAGCAGAACAGGCTTGCTAACATTTACTGATTGGTGGCTGTGTAATAGGCACGATGCTAAGTGCTTTTGAATATGTCCTCTTATTTAATTTTCATGGAACCCTTGTGAACTGGGTGCATTGTCTTATTCTATAGATAGGGAAACTGGGCTAAGTTTCTTGGGAGGTAGGCATATGCTAAAGTGAAATTAGGTAACTTCTGTGCAAGGACATACTAGCCCCCTGGTAAATGCAGAGCTGGCTGCAAGCGTGGGTCTTCTCGACTCCAGAACCTGAGCTTTTAAGTATTTTTTGTAAAGTTCACGTTTGAAAAAAGAGGAATAAATATAAGCGAATGATTGCTGTAGGAGTAATGGTCTAATTTGTTTCTTGTACATTAGACTTAACTTTATTCTCTCTAATGGAACACCCACTTGGCAGCAGCTTAAAGTACAAGTAAAGCTCTCTAAAAATAAATTCTCTGGTTTAAATTATTCTAAAATAGTGAAATAATGAAAAATCTTTTGTATTAATACATTACCATTACATCTCTTCATCCATCTAGAATATGTTTCGTTGCCCCTCAGACTAGTTTCTAGAACCACTCTTCTCCTGTTCTTCACCTTTAGTATCTATCCTATCCTTCACTTACCATGTCAGATTTTTTGTCTTTTCTGTGACATCTTCCCCTAGACCCTCTTGTTTCTCACTCTGTTCTGTACTTTGGCAACACTGCCTTGCCTTCTGAAACAGCACCGGGATTGATGTGTTTACTCTTGTTCACTTGTCTATATGTCACATTGTATTTTTACACACTGAGTGTTCAATGACTGGTACAATAGGTTTTTGGAAAGCTTTAAAACAATAAACCCAGAATATATTACTCGCATTTTAGTTTGTACGAGAGTTAAAAATACCGGTTGTCGGAAGAGAATGTTTTCATTGAATGCACCTTTTTCCCTGGCTTGGTTATTTGTTGTAGCTGGAGAAACAGAAGGTAGAGAAGCCGAAGAGGGACTTGCGAACCACCAGAAAGACTCTTGATGAAGGGAAGAGCAGCAGTCGTTCTTCTGGAATCACAGGGACCACAAACAAGAAGGATGTTGCCAAACCGAGACCTGGTGAAAAAAGCAGGAAAAATCTTCAGTTATTGAAGGACATGCAAACCATACAGAGTTCATTACAAAGCAATAGTTTATGTTGGGATTACTGACTGGTACCCGGTTATAAATTTTATTCCGATAATCTGTACCTCATCAATCAGATTTTGACAATTTACTCTCCAGGTCTCATACTCTCTTATGTTGGAATTAACGAATAGCCGGTGTTAAGGGGCCCAAGCTTCACTACACAGGCTTCTTGTGTACACATCATGACTAAATGTTAAACCATCTACATGGAAACCAGGGGAGTTTTAAAGGCCAGGAAGCCACATGCTCTGCTTCTTTGAGATGAATTTGCTGTACTGAAATACTGCACTTTGTAAACAAATTGCCAGTTGTTTACTTGTGGGTGTGATTTTTTTCATAGTTCCTTACATATCTAAGTAAAATTAGGTTTAAATTATCAAAAATAACAAAATCTTTTTAAATCTTTCCCCTGGCACAAATCACCCCTTTCTCCTTTCCAGCACAACCATTAAATATATTTTGTCTCAACTATTGATGGAGGTTTTCTATATTTAAAAGTATTTATACATATCTAAGAGGATTGTTGTTTTTCTTTTTGACATTTCAGGCATTGATCAGTATTAAATACACTTGTATTGATGTTATCCATCATTAAAAAATTTTTAAAGACCCAAACATTCAAGTCCATTCACTGCAAAAATTATAAAAGCATTTTTTAAAGTATAAATTATTAATGAAGTAAATGAGCTTTTAGAATGAAGAGAGAAGAGGAAATGTTGTAAAGCATACACATTTGTCGTTTTTAAATAATACCTGTTTGTAATCATGCTATTGAGTTTGAAGCATTATGGTTTTTAATCTTGAAACTTGCCCCTTGGACATGTTCTCGGTGTACAGTATGAGTGCATTAACTGTACACGTGCAACTGTCATTATGTTAATAATGTGAATCATAATTCTGCTTAGATCAAGATGTGAACTTTTTATAAATTTGCCACTCAAGTCAATAAAGCAGCTTTTTTAAGGAAACACTGAAATTTTCCTTAACAAGGCTTTATTTGTTATAATCTCTCCACAAAATGCATTTCTAAATAGGACATTAACATATTTTGAGAAACAGTAAGAATATATGGTATTACATAATTTGCCTATTTCATGCTTACACAGAAACTAAACCCAACAAGACTGAACTGTCTCATGGCATATGATTAAGATACTCTAAAGACTACTAATGAACACATTAACCACATGTTAAAGAGATTCCTTTTTATGCCTCCCCTGGGATCCAAATGGGAGTTCTGGGATTTTATCTGGGTATAATCAGCATGAAATGTAGTGCCTGTCTGGGCACTAAGCTTGTTAGGCCTCTTAATTGAATTAATTTTTTTATAGAGTTCTTGATTTAGGTTCCTTTGATTTGGATCTGTTTGTGAATGTTCTGAAATTTTATGTAAACTTTTGCTTGCATGTGCAGTTTTGTATCTTCATTGAATTCACAACAGTGAGTCCACAGACCCAAGGAATCACTGCTCTAGTGACATGGAAAATATTTTCTTGTGTCTCAACCACCGTTTCAACTATTAAACTTTTGTTACCGCTGTGTTTGAATTTCAGGTCATTAAACTGTGTGACACTCCCTTTTCATTGTAGTGGCTCTCAGTCCTAACTAGTGGAAGTTTAGTGGTGTTAAAAACCTACCCCATCCCACAGGTAGGAGTCAGACTCTCAACTCCAGCTTTTAATACCCTCAGGTGAGAGTTGAAAACAAGAAGATACCAATACTCCCTCAGTCTCCTTATCTGAGAGTTTACAGCGGAGGAATATGCTGTTCCACATCTCGTCGTAAGAGCGCTGTTGCAGTGCATTTCAAATACAAGTATCTTCTACGTGGAAGGTGCCGATACGGATACCAGGCTAAGTAAGAAGGGTATGATACAAGGTAGGCGGTAGACATCTGAATTATTTCAACACTTGTGAGTGCAGTGGTGACAGCACGAGCACGGGGCTGTGAGGATGCAGAAGTGGAGGTTAACATCCTGGAGGAGGAAGTGGTGCTAGACTTGGGAGAACTGGAATTTGTCATAAGGGAGAAGAGTTCCAGGTCAACGGGATAAAATGAAAAGGGAAGAGGCCAGATTCTGCAGTTGACGTGGGAGAGTTCTGACCAGCTGAGTGGTACCAGTAGAGAAGAGTTGAGGTATGCAAGCGAGACTAGAAGGGTAAGCCGACAAGTTACAGGAGGCTGAAGAGCCTTGACATAACCACACGGGTCTCAGTTTTGTAACCCGGATCGTAAAGGAAGAAGTGCACCTGCACAACCGCTAGTCATAGATGCAAAGTTATAAAACCTCTGTGAACTCAAATATGAAGGTTGCATAAGCTGCTGAATTTGACGTCATCCCATTTGTTAATTTTTCCTTTTCTTTTTTGTGCTTTTGGCATTATGTCCAAAAAAACATCAGGGAGCTTCCTCCTATGTTTCCTCTAGGAATTTTAGAGCATCTTGTCTTATGTTTAAGTCTTTGGTAGACTTTGAGTTAATTTTTGTGAGTGGTGTGAGGTGTAGGGGTCCAATTCCATTGTTCTCCGCATGTATTTCTCCAGTTTTCCCAGCACCACTTGTTGAAGAGGCTATCCTCTCCCCATCAGGTGTTCTTGGCTCCCTTGTCGAGTATTAGTTAATCACACATGCCAGGATTTAATTCTGGCCTCTCTCCTGTTCTATTTTTGTGCCAGTACCATACTGTTTTTATTAATATGGCTTTACTAGTATACACTGACCCTTGAACAACGTGAGTTTGAACTGTGTAGGACCACTTACACATGAACTTTTTACAGTATTGTATTTTCCTTATGATCTTAACCTTTTTTTTTCTAGCTTACTTTAATACACTATATATACAAAATATGGGGGTTTTTTAGATTTTATTTATTAGAGAAAGAGCACAAGGAGGGGAAGCGGTAGGCAGAGGGAGAGGGAGAAGCAGGCTTCCCGATGAGCAGGGAGCCCGATGTGGGACTTGATCCCAGGACACCGGGATCATGACCTGAGCTGAAGGCAGATGCTTAACCCACTGAGCACCCAGGTGCCCCCAAAATGTGTTTCTTGACTGTTATTGGTAAGGCTTCTGGTCAACAGTAGGCTATTAGGAGCTAAGTATTAGGGGAGTCAAAAGTTATTCTGGGATTTTAAACTGCATGAAGGGTCTGCACCCCTAACTACCATGTTGTTCAAGGATACCTCTGGTGCTGGTCTTTTTTCTTGAGATTACTTTGGATATTTGGGGTCATTTGTGGTTCCACAAAAAATTCTGGATTGTTCTCTTTCTGTGAAGAACGCCTTTGATATTTTGATCGGTTATTGTGCTATGTAATTTTTTGACACGTAATTGTTCATATGTTTCTTATTCTGTGGTATCAGTTGTAATCTCTCCTCTTTCTAATTTTGAGTTTTCCTTTTCTTAACCTAGCTAAAAGTCTGTCAATTTTTTTTCAAAGAACCAGCTCTTAGTTTAGTTGACCTTTCTCTTGTTTCTCTGGTCTCATTTATTTCTGTTCTGGTCTTATTATTTTCTTCCTTCTGCTAACTTTAGGCTTAATCTGTTTTTTCTACTTTCTTGAGATATAAAGTTAGGTTGAGATCTAATTTCTTAACGTGTTTATTACTATAAACTTTCCTTCTTTCCCTTTTGATTTCTTTGACCTATGTGTTTTTGAGAAATACGTTGTTTAGGTTCCACATATTTATAGATTTTCTCATTTCCCCCTTGTTGATTTCTAGTTTCATACCATGGTGGTCAGAAAAGATAGTATGATTTCAGTCTAAATTTGCTGAGATTTGTTGGGTGTCCTATCATATGATCTGTTCTGGAGAATGTTCATGTGCACTTAAGAACAATGTGTATTCTGTTGTTTGATGGATTCTGTGTATGTCTAATAAGTTTATTTGCTCTAAAGTATGATTCAGTTCCAGTGTTTACCTTGTTGATTTTCTTAACCCAGAGCCTTAGATCACTAGGCCACTCTTCTGCACATCTTCCTTGTTGATTTTCTGTCTGGATGATCTTCCCATTGGTGATAGTGGGGTACTGAAGTCCCCTACTCTTATGTTATTGTCTCTCTCTCCCTTAAACTCTGTTAGTATTTGCTTAATGTATTTTGGTGCTCAGTTGTTAGCATATATATTTACAATTGTTAAATTTTCGTGGTGTATGACCTTTGCCAGTTTTACGATTTTTGGCTTGAAGTCTATTTTGTGTAAGTAGGCAATGCCTGTCTTGTTTTGGTTTCTACTTGTTTTGAATGTCATTTTCCACCCTTTCACCTTGAGCCTATGTCTGTCTTCAGAGCTGAAAGGAGTATTCTGTAGAGAGCATGTAGATGGGCCTTGTTTTGTTTTGTTTTTGTTTTTTACCTATCCAGCCACTCTCTGCCTTTTGGTAAACTCAATCCATTTTACATGGAGGGTGATTATTCGTATGTGAGGAATTACTACGGCCATTTTATCTTTTGCCTTCTAGTTTATCTCTCCATTGTTTCTTTTCCTTCTGTTTCTGTCTACCTTTGTAAGCTGGTGTTTGTCCTTGGTGATTTGCTCAGTCTCCTTTTTTTGTTTTGGGTTTTTGCTCTAAATTTTTGCTTTATGGTTATCAGAAGTTTTACTAAATAAAACATCTCATTGGGGGTCATTTTATGCTGATAAAAGTTTATCTTCATTTACTAATTTCATCCTTTTATACTATATTAGATGTCACAAATGATCTCATGATGCTGTGAATTGTTACCAGATTTTAATAGCTATCATTTTTAATGCTCTTTAAACTTTATGCTGCAGTTATTTTAATAGTTTTCGGTCTGTTGATCACCTTAGTAAGAATGTTGTGTACTGAGATCTTTTCAGCTGGAAGATCTACTTCTGACGTTTCTTGTAAGGCAGTGTTAGTGGTGAACTCACATTTTATTGGTTTGGGAAATCCTTTGTTTCTCTTTCATATCAAGGATAACTTTGCCACTTAAGAGTATTTTTGCCTGGCAATTTTTATCTTTTCGATTGTTTGAATAGGTCATTCCATTCTCTCCTAGCCTGTAGAATTTGTGCTGAGAAATCTGATAGCCTAATGGGGGTTGGGGGCGGGGGGAGGTTCCCTTGTAGGTTTTTTCCCCAGGCTTTATCATTGACTTTTGACAAAAAAGTTTCATTACAACATGTCTTGGAGAAAGTCTATTAAGCTTTGTATTCTTGTATATCCAGTTCCTTCCCCCGGTTTAGGAAGTTTTCAACCATTATTTCTATAAACTCTCTGCCTCCTCTTCTCTTTCTGGTATACCCATTAATCTTATGTTAGCTTTTCTAATGGAGTCTGGTAATGGTTATAGATTGTGTCCACTTTTTAAATATCTTAGTTCTCTCTCCTCTTCCTCCTGCATCATTTCTAAACTCTTATCTTCCAGCTTGCTTATTCTCTCTTTCATCTGATCTCCATTTCCAATGCTTTCTAATACATTCTTCATTTCAATGAGTTTGTCAGCTTCAGATTTTCATTTTGGTTCTTTTTTTAGAATTTCATTCTCTTTGGGAAAGTGCTTCTTAATGTTCAATTTTATTCCTAAGTTCATTGAATTGCCTTTCTGAATTTCCTTGTAGCTTGTTGAATTTTGTCTTGTTTTGAATTCTTTATCAGTTAAATTGTAATATTCCATGTCTTTGGGTACAGTTGCTGGAGAATTGTCATTGCCTTTTTGTGATACTGTATTATGCTTTTTCAGTGTTCAATGAAATGCGCCTGTGCTGCTGCATTTAAAGTAGCAAACACCTTATTTACATAGGCTTTGATTTTAATAATTCATCAGGTTGGCAGTCAGAAGCCTTTCTTTTGTTTTCCAGAAGGTGGTGCTATAGCACTAGCTTTTGGGTTTTCTTACTGGAAGCGACTCCCTGCCAAAGTTTGACGTGCTTCAAAAAGATGGCATTAAAAAAACACACTGGGGGCGCCTGTGTTGGCTCAGTGGGTTGGGCGTCTCCTGGTCTCAGCTCAGGTGATGATCTCAGGGTCTTGAGATCCAGCCCCACCTCTGCTCCATGGGGGGTGCACAGTGCAGTCTACCTGAGACTCCCTCTCCCTCTGCCCCTCACCCCATGCATGCACGCCCATCTCCTCTCTCAAATAAAATCTTTGGTTTGGTTTTGTTTTTTAAAAACTGGGAGCAGGGTGGGGGGAGATGTGTGCTTAGCACTTGGGGCTTTAGGTGTGCCCATGGTCTTGTAGGGCAGTCCTAGACTGGGGGATTCCCAAAGAAGGCCCGTGGATGGACCTCCTGCTGGAATCCCAGGGCAGATGGCAGAAAACATGTCCCTTCAGCTCTCTTTGGCGGCTTTTTTCTTCCCCTCTACCCAGTCACGGAGGTCTGTCCTTAGAAATCTAGGTGTTCCTGAAAAGCAATAGAACCCTCCAGCTGCAGCCGATGCGGCTGAGCACTTTCAGGTACCCCCTTCTCTTTCTACCACCTCCACTAGAGAGGTCACCACCACGTAACTCCCTCAGCTCCACAGCTCCCTTTGACTTCAAGTGCACAGATGGATGTCCCGGTGTGATGTGCAGAGGCACTTATGGATGTCCAATTGGTTGTTAAATCGAAGGGGAGGAAAGAGGAGTGTCTCATGCCATCATGATCCTGACTTTACCACCAGGGGTTTATCTTAAATGCACTCCACTTTGGAGACTCCTGTGGAAGGTGAAAAGGAAACCCCTGGGAAGTCTTAAAATGGTAAGTGATAGATTTGCATTTAGATTGCTCTGGCCTTTGAATGGAATTTAAAGTGGATGTGAGGGTATTGAGGCTGGAAGTTTGAAATACTTGATCTCTTCAGTTACCCATATTTTATGTGATATCAGACCAAGATGATCAAGGCTTAAATAAGGAAAATGGTAGAATGGAATGGACAGGAAAGAATGGATATGTAAAATATGTGGAATAGAAAGCTTAGCTTCAGTTGATAGGCTGGCCACTTAAATACCATTACGACTTTACTTAAAATGAGTATCATACAAAGACCAAATCATCTTGGTACTAATTTTGCTAATATTGGAGGTACTAAGAGAAATTATAGTTCCTCACCACAAGACCCAAGAACAGGGCTGAGGTCCAGACTATGGTGAATTAACAAGTGAAAGAATACTGCATTTTTGAGTACTGTTTGATTTGGGTATTAGAAGCAAAATGGGTTGAAATTGAACATTTCAATTTGGAGCAGGTGCTAAGCCACCCCTTTCTTCAAAAACTTTCCAAATAACATTTCTGCAAAAGGCATTTCAGGCAAACAACTTAGGATAAGGATGACGTTTTAAAAGTCAGTTGAAATTTCCTTTTAATTAAAGATCCAAGGGACAAGAAGCTCCTTTGTTACAGTACATAACATATGGCTCTTCAGATATCAGGGAGTCAAATGTTTATACCAGTGCTGAACTGTTACTGGCAGGTGAACATTGAAGCAGTATTTCCTTTACTGGCATTGAGACTGTAATACATTTGTACATGCAGTTAAGTTCTTTGGTAGACTTAATCTTTCAATGGAATTAACAATTTGCAAAGTAGTAAAATATTTCATGTAAAATTTGAGCATCGTATTTCTCACCCATAAGCTATTTATACAGCCTTCAGGAAAAAAGTCAATCCTAGTGAACTTTTAAAATATTGCCTCAAAATTTAACCAATTAACTTGTGTTCAGACACACGCACAAAACATTATTATTGCCTAAATGCAATAAAGTAAGGTAATAATGAATTTGTAAAATACGCTTCATTATGTTTCTAGTGACTGGGCAAACGGAAACTAATCTGAAGGGTGTAGAATTCTTTGAAATCCTGGACGGCTACCACTTCTTCCTCCTCAGTCCCGCCCCCCACCCCCAAGCCCATCTCTAAGGCATCTGTTTGGAACAGCGATCTACTACATCTTCAATACATATGCCAGTGACAACAGCAATAATTTCCAACTACTACTATGCCATAATAGCCTCAAGACTTTGCCATATCAGATACGAAGAGTGTGGGTGCAGAAAGGTGATCAAAGTAAAGTACTTTACTACAGAAGAGAAAAACCCACGACGGGGGAAGGGAGTGTCTAATGATTTCTGAGCTTTCATGCCATCAAGGCTCGATATCTATATAATGCCACGGAACTGCAGTGTTGGTGTGCTGAGATAAATGGGATGCTCCTTCCCTTTGTGCAGTGAGTTCTCTTCCAGCAAGAGGTATGTTTCTGAAATGCTCTGTATTTTGATTTTAAAATCAGAAGCTTGTTCCCACTGTGGATCTGGTATTGAAGCATCTTAATATTCTTTGGGTGACTTAGAAGATTAGTGTCATAATCGTGTAATTACATACGGGGTTATTTCACGCACACCACCTGCACTGCCACAGTTCTAAACCCATCTTGGAGGGATTTCAAATAAATACAGCAACTGCACTTCTCCTGTGGGTGGGTTCTAACTTCAGAAGACTGTATACTCCTCAGGCTGCCACTGTAATCCAGAGTTCATGGCAATGCCGGTCCCCCTTGAACAGTCCCTTCATACAACAGTTTGGACAGGAGTGACACACTGTGCAGGAGAACTGGCTCTCTCGGAGGATGAGGTTGATCGGTTGGAAATCTCTCTCTGGAGTTCCTCTACTTTTTTCTGAAGCTCTGCTCGTTTAGCAAGAAGTTCTTTATATCTGTTGTGAATGGGCTCCTACAAGAGCAAAACACCATAATGTCATTCAACGAGGCAATCCTAAACAAACCCAGAGTCAAATCGTTCTGGTATGTGGTCCTTTCCCTAAAGTGCTGCAACGTGCATTTTCTCTGCTCTGGGGACCAGGCCAACCTTTCCAGCACATCGGTGAAAATTAACTGGACTCTCTTGACAACACTGCTCTTTCAGTGGCTTTCCCAGTGGCCCCAAGTATTTCCTGCGGCTGGTACTTAAATACAACAAACAACTAAGTAACAAGACAATCTAAAAGCCAAAACTCAAAAGATTTCCTATCACTTGGTTGCAGATTTTTAGTCTTTTAAGCAGTTCTAAAGTAGTATATATATTCCATAATATGTTTCAAAATGGACCAGAATCTGTCAGGCTTTTAATTTTCTTAAAGCTATTTCCTCAAACCTATTAAAATGACTTGCAGAAGTTATCCAATCCACCACACTCATTTTCCTGAGGAGGGACAAAAAGACAGTGATTCATCCAAGACCATACAAGCAAAAGCAGGGCAAGAATCAAGTATATTGCTGACCCCCATGTAGTGCTTTTTCTACTATACAATTATAACTATTAAGAGGAAAAAAGAAAGTTTTAAATATATCTAATTTTTCTAGTTGCTTTAAAGGTGACGAACCTAACTGATGAAAACTCCCACTGTCTATTGAGAACATGCATACCTGTGGTTTCATCCGGGGATTCCACCTGACGTAATATCCCACCCAGAGCTCTAGGTGGCGCATGCTGGCTACTGGATAAAGGACGTGATTGGAGTAGCTCCCATAGAGAGGATTAGTGAAGTCTTCCAGCTGGCTATTTATGTAAGACCACAGTGACACAGTCCTTTTAGGAAGATTCTGTAAAGAAGGTAACATAGGTAGTTTTGATTATTAAAATCTCTTTAGAGGGAAAGGACATGGACACTTCAGTGATAGCCCCACTTTTTTTTTTTTTTTTAAGATTTTTATTTATTTGACAGAGAGAGACACAGCAAGAGAGGGAACACAAGCAGGGGGAGGGGGAGAGGGAGAAGCAGGCTTCCCACTGAGCAGGGAGCCCGATGCGGGGCTCGATCCCAGGACCCTGGGATCATGACCCGAGCCGAAGGCAGATGCTTAACAACTGAGCCACCCAGGCACCCAATAGCCCCCCTTTCATTCAAACCAGAGAATATTAGAAAACACTGCAGTTCACTAAAAAGTTAAGTTCCCACACCAGCAATTCCATTCAGGTCTATATACCAAAAGAATAGAAACACATGCACACAAAAACCTGTACACAGATGTTCAAATCGGCATCACTCATAAGAGCAAAAGGAAGAAAACAACCCAAGTCCATCAACTGATAAAATGGATAAAATTGTATATTTATAAAATGGAATAATATTTCACCATGAAAAGGAATAAAGTACTGATGCATACTACAAACTGAGCCTTGGAAACCTGCTAAGTGAAAGAAGCCAGACACAAAGGCCTCAACTTGAATGATTCCATTTATAGGATGTATCCAGAAGGGGCAAATCCAGAGAGTAGTGATGGCCAAGGGACCAGGAGAGGAGACTAGGGAGAAACTGCACAAACAGGGACACGGTTACTTCTCAGTGTTCTGAAGTTAAGAGTGGCAACAGTTGTACAACTCTAGATAAACTGAAAACTACTAAATTATATACTTTTAATTTTAAAGACTGCCAATTACAGCTCAGCAAAAAAGATTCTTTTCTTAAAATCAAGATATAATTAAATCCTATTCAAGCCTCTCAAAAGATGAGAAAAAAGGATCTTTGGAACTTAGGTATTTTTACTTATCTAACATTCGGTAAGTTCTTAAGCGCCTCCTGCATGGGAATACTGACTACAGGCTGGCCACTGAAGATATGGTGTATTCAAAATTTCCTGGGGCGCCTGGGTGGCTCAGTCGGTTAAGCGGCTGCCTTCGGCTCAGGTCATGATCTCGGGATCCTGGGATCGAGTCCCATGTGGTCGGGCTCCCTGCTCGGCAGGGAGCCTGCTTCTCCCTCTTCCTCTGCTGCTCCCCACCTCTCCTGTGCTCGCTCTCTCAAATAATAAAATCTTAAAAAAAAAAATTTTAATACCTGCCTTCAAGGAACTTACGGTCTGCTACATGGTAATTACCGTAGTGTTTTGTAGTTTATTTTATTTAGCCACACAATAGTAAGTACTATTTTTCCCAATTTACCAAAGCAGAAATGAACTTGCCCAAGGTTGCACAAGAAGGGATAGATCTAAGATTTCAACCCAGGCAGCCTGGCTCCAGAGCAAGCACTCCCAGCATGAATAAACTAGTTTGTAACCACATTTTTAGAATGAAAATTGATGCAGAGGGAGACACCAAATCAAGAGGATTTGGAATTTCATACATAGGATAGATAATGTATTTTGAGGTCAGAAGTAAAACTTGAAACGTCATCCTTACAACAGGGTTTCTTCTAAGTAATACCAACCACTTACCAGTGATCTCTCTGGTGAAGCAGGGAAATGGTAACTTCCTACATAGTATCTCTTCCGTGTTTGGATGTTTTACAGTATTATTTTATAATTAAAAAAAACTAAAATGGCTCATATGTATGCACAATGTATTTGGGGATCTCTTCATTCGTAGGTATATTTTTTGCTAATTAGATTTTTCTGCACCTGCTTTGAAGGATTTCCACCCTGCAAGGACTGGAGCTCCTAAGATTACACAGACTTCAGTTCTCTTTAGCAGACACTACTATTCACCTGTAAACGCACTTGGTACCTTCAGCCTTGCACCAGAGGTACTTAAAAACAAATCAGGCTCAGATATATGGAAAGAAGTCATCATATTACAGTACGTGAGAATAAAACATGACCAAAGAAATCATCCAAAAAGACTATTAAGTTGAAATCTATCAGAGAATGCACCCTCGTAGGGAACATCGCACATATTGGGAGTAGAGGGGGGAGGGTCATGGCTCATATTTTACCTCTTTTCCTCTCTGATGTTCACTGTTACAGAGGAATGTTCCAAATAAACAGCTATATAGATGGTCCAAAATGGTAATGAGAAAATATTCATTGAATTCAAATGCTGTAGGAAACTGCAAATTGAATACCACAAACATAAAATTATTAAGACAATTTTTTCAAGCATATTCATCCCCATATATGGGTAGATTCTTTGTAATACTTCTTAAAATTAGGTTAAACAATATTCAAAACTATGTATTTCTAAGCCATTATGGCCTTATCTGCTTCGTTCTCTGTTCAAAAATCACTCTACCACTTTTCTGAGATTTCTCCCCAAGAGAAATCCTTTTCTTGTGCAGCAAGAGTTTGAATGGTGTGACCTTGGTGTGTTTCTGTATCTCCTGTATCTGTTAATCCTAAACCTGGAGAGGGATGAATTTTGACTTTGGCAATTCTGGCAACTCTTAGCCTTTCTTTGCCAAAAATGACCATAAACAACGTAATAAGATTTTCTTGAAATTTTCAGCAACATAGTTTTGGTTTTAGGAATTATACAAAAAATATCACTGTCTCCAGAAAATGTCAGCAATGCACAAAAATAAAGATCCAAGGCAGATGTGCAGATCGCTTAAAAGCCAGCCTAGTGAAACCTGAGTATCCTGTAATCCGGTACTTTGGCAGCCTCTTTCTAACAAAAAGAAAATGCACTTTCTCTTTAACCTAGGACAAGAGCGTGACTAGATATCTTAATATTACATAAACAACCAATTTGGTGGGGGGGGAGGGGACTTATCAAGGATGGATGACAGATCCCAGGAAGGGAAAGAGTTCGTATAATCCATCCTTATCCATCTAATACTTCAAAATTTTCAAAGAGTCTCCTTGAAAATTGTACCAATTCTAGGACTGTGAAAAAGAAATTCTGTGAATATTTGGACTGCAGATTTGGGGAATAAACATTGGTTCCAAGTTTTTCTTAGAACGATCCCTACCAGGTAGTGCAAGAAAACAGCCTGAACCGCATGCACAAGGCATAGGGATGAAACCACCTTTGCCAAGACATTTCCTAAATTTAGAAGCAGGATAATATGGCAAATTTCTCGAACAATGAAGGCTAACTAGCCTGCCTTGAATGGTAATTTCTGTGGCTGCGAAGCTGAACCAGGTGACCGGAGCACATACCAACAAAAAGCCAATTACCTGTAAGAAACGTGGTCAAATCCCATTCGTTCATTTACAAAATAAATTCCATCCCCTGTATCGTTACACACTCTGAACAGCCTTATTAGCCAACTGTGAATGCACTGACTCATTAAACAGCCGTCCAAAGGAGCTAAGCCTGTCATCAGTTTCTCATCTTTTTGGAAAAAGCTCGTGCTCAGTCATGAGAAGACGGGAGCTGCAACAGCAGCAGGCCCCCATCACATAATGGGGGTAGCAGAGCGGGAACTGCTGGGAGCACAGGAGGGATAGTTCCTCCTCCTAACGGGTTTGCAATCTGAAGGGCCCTTCTCCAACTGCTTCCTGACCCAGCAGCGAGGGGCTGTGGCGAGGGTGGGGGACAGGTAGAATCTGGCTAAGGACCACATAACTGGTGTCATTTTGACAAATGTGCTTACTCAAGTCTCTGCACCAAAGTTCAATTATTTATAAAACTGGTGATTGCCAATAAGCATGTCTAACATGTTCTATGCTCTAGAATATCATACAGAAAAACAGAACTAGATATCTAAAATAAAGACTCATCACTATATGAGGTATCTTCAGTTCTGTCAGAGAAACGTAAGAGTAAACTGATTTTCTATGCAGTAACTTAAGCTCAAAATTCGAGTGAAGCTGCTTTTAGATCTGTAGCATGCGATAAGTGGACACAATTACCGAGGAAGATACTTAAGAGTGTACTCTTCTACGCAAACAACTGGCAAATGTGGTTTTATTACTAACAAACCAGAGCTAATATAGTCACACATGTTGCCCCTTCAGGGTACTTGCCCTGGGGAAACAGCACACTCAGTCATCAATGGTGCCATGGTTTCAAACAGCTTTTAGAGCCTTTTTATAGGGCTATTTACTTTTTGCCAAGAGTCAAATATTATTTTAAAATCAAACATGGTAATGGTCAATAGTGGGCCTTCCTGTTTTTGGTCAAACACCCAAAAAAGGACTGGCAAGGATGTGGACAGCTGCTATACTGACTCAAGAGCAATCCCAAAGGAAAGATTCAAACCCAGGCCAAGAAGCAGTAAACATCAGTAACTATGCAGTTAGTGTCTCCCCTCCTCCCAACACACCAAGGGCCTTGTATACAACAAAACTTGAACTGTCAGACGCATTTGCAGGATATACATGAAAATACCAGCCTCATCACACCATAGTCGTATCTACTACAACACTTCATTTAACCCAGCAGTCTTCAAAATAATCCACCCAAACTGGTATGTGCTTACAGGGGAGATGCTTATATAATTGGTGTATTTCACCCGAAGATCACCAGTTTCTTTTAATGAAATAATAGGATCTTCTTGAAGCTAAAGTATAATCCTAAAGCGAAGCAGAGCCAACAACTGCCCTGTTTTATATTCATGTGGCAGTCTCATGAAAAACAAACCAGACTCCCAGTTGTCTGAGGTCTAATAAAGCCTTGGGTAAATAATTAGCTGACACAGCAGTGGGCTGTAGCCAAGGTCTGAGATTATTTTTCTTGAGTTAAATATTTTTAAGACACCAACGTTTTGCCTCACTAGCGAAGTGATCCCATAATAAACCAGGTGTTTTTCAATCTCCTCTGATATCTTTACAAAAGACAAAATCCATTACCATTAATATTTCAAATCAGTTTGTTAGAAAGTTAATAGGTCTAAAAAACAATCTCTCCATACCTAAGAACAGAAAGAACTGAATCTATTACATACCTACCTACCCATAATTCCCACGTAAACATATTTTTCCATTAAAATTACTTAAAATAAGATTTTATTTTGTTTGAGTGACCTAGCCTATTTCTTCATTTCTTTACCTCTACCTTTCTTAGCAATGTATAGATGAGCGTCCGGGTAAATGTATTGTCATTATTGAACTACTTGTCCAAAACGAAGGAGGAAACCTCTTGGGTTATTATTAATGCTACTGGTTGAAATTTGAAGTGTTTAATACGATCTCCAAATAATATCCTTTAACTTAGTTCATAATGTAACAACAAGTAATAGTTCTATTACCGAGAAATCTTCTAAGAATTTCCATTTTACATGAAATGTAGGATAGATAATCACTGACCAAACCTCCCAATTCTGGACGGCTTAAAAGAAAGATGCAAGAATGACTATCCCAGAGAAGTTACCTGTCTTGTCATTTGCCAGACACAGTCAATAAACTGAAGAAAAACAGGCGATCTGTCTGCGTCTGCGTGGTTCTTATCTCCATGGCCAAGTCTCTGAAGCAGAAAGAGTCAAATATGAGTTTTGTGGAATTTTTCTTTTTCATGGAAATAACTTTATTTTCCAATGAAAGTAATATCTTCCAATATTTTTTAAGTTCAAAAGTCTTTTTAAGAGAGCACAGCAAGGGGGAGCCTGGGTGGCTCAGTCACTTAAGGGTCTGCCTTTGGCTCAGGTCATGATCCCAGGGTCCTGGAATCGAGCCCCACATCGGGCTCCCTGCTCTGTGGGGGGCCTGCCTCTCCCTCTACCCCTCTCTTTCCCCGCTTGTTCTCTCAAAAATAAGTAAAATCTTTAAAAAATAAATTTAAAAAAGTAAAAGCACAGCAAGGAAAACAGAAATCACTCACAGGCTTAGCAAGCAAAAGTCTCTATTACCATTTTGATGTACAAACTGCCAGATTTTTTTCTGACATGAGATGCTTGTAATAGGAAATCACAACTTTGTTTATTAAGTGGAACCCAGATCTTAAAAGGTTAATGATGGAAGACAGGAGCAGTCAGACCCCAGAACCCAGATATCTTTGTCCCAGAGATTTAATATTCCCTAAATATTGACAGTTACTTGGGGCACCTGGGTGGCTCAGTTGGTTGAGCGTCTGCCTTCAGCTCAGGTGATGATCCCGGAGTCCCAGGATCAAGTCCTGCATCGGGCTCCCGGCTCGGCAGGGCGTCTGCTTCTCCCTCTGCCCCTCCCCCTGCTCATGCTCACTCTCTCTCTCTCTCTCTCTCTCTCTCTCTCAAATAAATAAATAAAATCTTTAAATAAATAATTAGAAATATATATATTAACAGTTACTTGTCCACCAGCCTCCGGAAGCACGCGTCTCCTTTAACAGCTTGGCCAGTGCGTCAGGGGACCTGTCGCTATCCTAGCTCAGCGGTCTTTATCAAGAAGAATCACATCAGCACAAACTCTTGAAAACCTTTAAGGAATGCTTGACATATCTGCCTTCCAAGCATGTACTCACCTCCTTTCTCAGTTTTTTCTCTTCTAAGGACCTTTGCCCCAGACGACTGAAACAGACCCTCCACACTCCAAAACAGTGATTCTAAAAGTCTGGTTCATAGATTTCCAGGGGCCGGGAGGGGGGCAGTCTGTGACATCAAAACCATTTTCAGAATAATACTAAGACATTATTTGTCTTTTTCAATGCACTGACATTTACAGTGATGGTGCGAAAGTGTCTGGGTTCCTTAGGAGTAACCAAGCAAGGCACTGGAATCAAGCTGGTCGAGTCATGTCATATCCTGCCTTGCCACACACTCGCAGTTAAATGAAGGGCGGGGGGAGCCACTTTCTTTGATGAAGCAGTAAATATTAATCCTGTTAAATCTCTCCCCTTAAGGACAGCCTGTGTAACAAAATGGGAAATACACATAATATTCCTCTGCTGCAAACGTAAGTTGATGGTACAAAACACCACCTTTTCATGGAACATCATTTTGACTTGAAAGAACAACTGATATATGAACTATGGTTATTAAGACTTGAAAGTCCTGAACACTTTTTTTTTTTAATGTACAAAGCGAATGTGTCATCTCAAGGAAAACTGATAAAATTCAAGCTTTGAGTGCACATTAGATCTTTGGAAAACTACCTGCCACAATAAGCTTGATAATAGACTTTTCTGATAAAATCATTGGTGATACTCACAAATGAGATGACAGTATATAAGGAAATGCATTAACACTGGAAGAACTGTATAAGTCAGTAAGACAGTATTTTCCAAAATAACCAATCCCTGATGTTACAGAATCATACATGGGTAAAAGTTCTATTCAAAACGCAAGACAGACCAATGGAATTTAATGGAACAAACAACGAAAAACTCATTGATCTAGTTTTGGATTCCACATTACAAGTAACCTCGAAGAAATTAACATTTGTTAAATTTTGGCACAGTATGAAGACTATCCACAACTCCCTGAAAAAGCTATTAAGACACTCCCTGATTTTCAACCTGCATATCTGTGTGTGGTCAGATTTTCCTCATTTACTTCAAGCAACAGCACACATTGCAATAAACTGAATGAGGAAGTAGTTGTGAAATTCAGCTGTCTTCTAATAAGCCAGACATGAAAGGAATTTGCAAAAAAATGTAAAACAATGCCACTCTTCACATTAAACTTTTGTTGTTGTTGTTGTTTTGGAAAATACAGTTAGTTTTCTTTAAAATGTTATCTAGGTTAATATATAGTAGTACTATGTCCTGAATGTTTGTGTCCCCTCCCCCCCCCCGGCAAAAAAAAAAAATTCATGTTGAAATCCTAATGCCAGATGTAATGGCAGGAGTCATCGTCTGGGAGCTGCTAGTCATGAGGGCAGAAGCCCAATAAAGGGGTTAGTGTTCTTATCAAAAGACCCCACGGGGCTCCCTCGTTCTCGTCACCATGTGAGGACACAGAGAGGTTGACAATCTACAACCCACAATCTAGGGTCTTCCACGGACCCTGACAATGCTGACACCGTGACCTTGGATTTCCAGCCTTCAAACCTGTGAGAAATAATTTTTTTTTAAAGATTTTATTTACTTATTTGACAGAGACAGCGAGAGAGGGAACACAAGCAGGGGGAGTGGGAGAGGGAGAAGCAGGCTTCCCGCGGAGCAGGGAGCCCGATGCAGGGCTCGATCCCAGGACCCTGGGACCGTAACCTGAGCCGAAGGCAGATGCTTAATGACTGAGCCACCCAGGCGCCCCGAGAAATAAATTTCTGTTGAAATTCTACAAGTCACCCAGTCTGTAGTATTATGTTAGAGCAACCCAAACAGACTAAGACAGGTTTATTATTTAATTAATATTTAAACTTTTTTTAAAATTTAATTTCTAATATGGTAAACATTGGTAGATACAAACCATATAAACAAAGTTCTTTGGGGTCAGCAAGAATTGTTAAGAATGGAAAGAGATCCTGACATCATGACTCATTACCCTACATTAACCAGGTGAATGTACGCTCTTGACCAGTTGTCCTTTAATTGTCAAATTCTGCTTTCAGATAAGTTAGCAATCTGGGAATCCACAGCAACTTCCAACAGTCTTAAATGTTTACTCTTTTGGTCACATTGATATGAACACGTGCAACTCTGGATGACTAACACTTCATTCTTTGAAGTAAGAGGGTTTTTGTAATGTTTTTTTCATGGTAAGTTTATTTTAGAGAGAATTGAAAAATGTGAGCCATCTGAAAAGATACTCCAGATGCCTAATTTTATTTAACAGTTCAAGTTCAAAAGAGCAGACTACCTTTAAATGTCTGTTTCTTTCAAGTTAACTGTTGACTCTCGAGCAACACGGATTGCACTACGCGAATTCACTTAAACGTGGATTTTTTACAGAACTGTAAATGTATTTTCTCCTATGATTTTCTTAGTAACATGTCCTTATGTCAGCTTACTTTATTGTAAGAATACAATATATCACACATACAACATACAAAACACGTGTTAATTGACGATCTTACTGGTAAGATTTCCGTCAACCATTAAGTTCTAGGGAGGAGTAAACAGTTGTATGTGGATTTTTGACTGTGCTCCTAACCCCCACATTGTGCATTGTGCAAGGGTCATCTGTATTTATAAACACTGCTGGTATGCCCTGGTAACTACAGAATAGTAAAGGTTAACATTCGAGACAGCATCTGGATAAACGTCTTTCAGAAAGTCTTTCAGCTAATCTAGGAAAATGCTGCCAAGAACCATGCACACTCTCAGTGGCTTCAATGCCTCTGACAATCTAACTCTCCCCCTCCATGATTCTCTAACCCCACCCTTCCCTCAACTCTACTCTTGCCAAGCTCAATCCCATTTAGACTTTTGCTCACCCTGTTCCTCCTTTTGGGGAAAATATTCCTACTCCTCACTCTAAATTCTATGATTACAACTAACAGAGATGAGCAATACATGAAAACCAAGGCCTACGCGGTTACTGTTCTCAAGTTTTCTGATTGCAAATTTAGTGTTTAGCAGAAACACAACTAAAAACCACATGAATGTTTATTTAATTAAAAGGTGCATGAATCCAAAGTATGATGTAGCAAAAAAGCAAAATTGAAAGCTCAGTATCCTTTGAAAGGGACATAATAACCCCATTCCTCTATTTCAGGAACTGTGATTAGTTCTGGGTACCACATTTGATGAAAGACATGACCTAAGTCCAGAGGACAACTGAGGTGAAGAGGGGACTGAGATGGGAAAACACTGAAGAAAATGAATGCTTAGCCAGAAGAACTAAAGTTTATGCATGACATGGGTAGACAACTACTTCCAAATACTTGAAGGGCTATCTTATTTGGTTAAGTAGTCATATTTGTTCTTGTCTTCAAAAGGGAAATGGGAAGGAATTTTTGGTCCACTATGAGGAAGAACTTTCTAGTAGGTAGACTTTCTGAAGTGAGACTGGACAGCCTGAGGAAGAGCCTGACTGCTGCTTTCTGGAGGTGTAAATGCAGAAACTAAACAATCATTTCATGGGGACACCGCAGAAGACATCCAACAATGAGGCCTGGACACTGAAGTTCTGCCAACTCAGATCTGACACGAACGACAACATCAAAAGGCACTGAGGCAAATAGAGGGCACGAAAATTTGTCCTTTCCATAAAACCAGCTGCAACACTCTCCATACGTATGCTCGTTACAGTGTTAGTACTTTAAGAAGGATAATCAAAAAGTTGTTTTATTCCCCACTCTGAGTTAAATTTTTTTTTTCCTCTGATATTTCTTTTGGTCCCAGCCTGATTTTTTTTAAGACCCTGTTCCTGTGAGAGCACTGCTACTCTGCAGTATTCTTAAATTAAGAATAATAATTAAGCTATCCTTGGCTTCTTATGCATCAAGATCAGAAGAGGCCTATAATTCCACAACCATTCCTGCTAATCTGCATTTAAAGGCAGAGACACGTGCACAAACGAAGGAATGGTATCTGATGTTGTCTCCCTCCCCCAGCACTCATCACAGTAGAGACACATGACCTGACAGCAAGAGAGGCTATCCTACTGCTTTCCACAAATAACGAGAAAGTTCTCTCTAGAAGTTCACCCCTTTAGTAAAGGGGTGGTTTTCGATGAGTAATGAATAAAAGGCACTGTTTTCACATGCCTTATGCAGGATGCATGTGATACATGGAGTCAGGGTTCTTTACTCACAAGCTGAAATCGATGACCAAAGCTTAGCCATTCTTTTTCCACAAGGACTTCAAACCCTCGGATGCTCCGATAGTACCCATCCAACATGAGCATGGCAAGGGAAGTCAGCTGAGCTGTGCGGTCCCAGCCGTCACTGCAATGCACTACCACAGACGTCTTCCCGGACTCTACTTTGTCAGCAATCCGGAGAGCCCCCGCAAGAATGAGCTGCCAAACAGATTTTTAAGTGAAATTTTTAAAAAATTAAGCGCTTCCTTCTTCAAAATTAACTAATACGGTTTTATTACCGATGACTGTCTCAATAACACATGAAGAAAAAAAATCAGTCCCTTCCTAAAAAGAATTCTCGTAAGTGGCAGAAGATCTATAATATTTTGCCATTGTAACTAGAAAAATCTCATAAATCCAGGCTCCTATTAATCTGCACAATGAAAGAGTCAAATGAAGGGTATCTCTGGGTTCTGTACAAATCAACAGTATGAGTGAGAGAAAAGAAGGATTAAGTTTTAAAGAGATCGGTTTCTAAGAATCTTCAAATATTCCAACATGATCTATTTAAATAAAAAATAATATGCCAAATGAAGTCATACACGTTAAACAACTCCTACTTAACCAAAATAGAATATGAAAGCAATGAAATTGGATCTCTCTTATTCTATAGCTTCTATAGCATTTATTTTACTATTTTTATATGTCACATAGCTTACAGCAAGCACAGTATAAAACTTTAAGCTACTTTTCTGTATCAGTATGAATGGAAAATTCTCATCAGATCAATATATTACTATGTCAACTTAACTGGTATTTGAAATAATTTCAGTTATTTTTTTAAATATGCAGACAGTGCAAAGTATCTTTTCTGAAGTTGATCTTGAGTTAAAACTAGACAGAATTAGATACAACCAAATAAGGAACACAAAAGTATAATATCCTTTAAAATGAATAATACAGTCCCATTCTTCTCTGCAATGGCTAGACCATACACACTTAGAGAATGGTATGGGTCCACAAACATGGATCAGAATGAAAGAAAGTAGATTTACTAGGCTTGGAGAATCTCGTGATAACCTCCTTTTGATTTTAACTATAGGCATATTCTGGAAATGGGGTACTCCGAAGCAATGTCAATCTTGACTATGCATCAGAGTCACCTGTGAGCATTTTTTTTAAAGTGTCTGGGCTCCATTCTTCACTATTCCTGGCTTACTATTTTAAATATCTTCCACTTGTAATTCAATGGATATCGAGACTTAGGGATCACCCACCCAAAGGATTAGAACAGCTGGAAAGTTAAGACTGACCAGGGAGTTATCCAAAGTGGTCACCTTCCTTCCATGGTCATCTCCCTCCCTCCTTCCCTTCTTCCCTCCCTCCATCCCTCGCTCCCTTCCTTCCTTCCTACTTTCACTTATAAAATAAACATTTTGGAGTGCCTTACCATGTGGCAGGCTCTGCTCTAGGTGCTGGAGACAGCGGTGAACCAAAGAGACAAAGGGCTGGTACATTCTACTCGGGCGAGGCCAGCCAGATGCAAGTAAGTAAGAAAATACATACTGTGCCAGAGGCACTGCCCCCTGCTGGTGGAGCTGTTATTTTGTAAGGTGTGGCTGGGAAAGGCCTTTCTGAGAAGGTGATATTTGAGCAGAGTTCTAAAGAAGGTGAGCAGGTAAGCTTTGCTGGTGTGAGGACTGTGGGTGGAGAAGGCAGTCCAGGCACAGCCGATCTCATACCTCTAAGGAGACTTGTTTCTGTTAGAGCAAGCTTTTTGGAGAGACTGTTCTATGCGCTGGTGGAATGCCTTGCAATTTACAGAAACTGACATTGCAATTTATGTTCGCTTTTGCTTCCAATCAAGTGTTACTGTTTACTATTTACACTTCACAGGCTCTAACAGATGGGCCCCCAAGAACATGCTCTCTGATTGAGGAGTGTGTGCACTCTGCTAACTCAAGCTTCTAAGCATCTGGGAGAGAAAAAATAAAAATAATCTCTAATTCTCAATCAGGTCAATTTGCCCTTCTCTTCAGTTCGGTCCGAATTTTAGATTCGAATGTGAGCACATGTCTGCTCCTTACCATGAAAAATCTCATTTCCCTTTATTTCACAGTATGAATGTGTATGTGGCTATAGAAGTCTATATCTCTGTATGCTGTGTTACTGAAATTTAGAACACATGTGCGATCACATCCAGTGTTCCAAACATGACAGCAACAGGCTGGGCACATTGGTGTTCACAGGGCAGTCTCCACATCATTTAGCCTTCATACCCTTCATTCAACTGCTTCACCTCCCTTCTCTGACCAGAATGCCTCTCACTTCACTAGTTGAGTAACACAGATTTAGCGGGTGCCTGTTATTCACACACACAGTGCTGCCCTAGCTCCTGAGGGGTCCAAAAATACTAATAAATTACCCAGCCCAGGTTTCCATGAATTAGGAATATACTCCAGCTGACACAAAGTAATTAACTGAAGTATAGGGTCTTACCTGATGAGTTGGAAAGAGAAAGTGAAGTAAAAAGTGCAGAGACAATGGAAGTGGGTGCAATCCGGGAAGACTTCATGGAAGAGAAGAAATCGGAACTGGGGTCTGAAGGATGGGCAGAATTCAGACAGGGCGGGGAAGAGAGGGGAAGAGAAGACCACAACAGAACCAAATGCACAGGACAGAAAACTAATTCATTCAAGCAACACACCTTAGAAGTACTTACAATTTTCAAAGCAGTTATCAATTTTTCATTGTATAGAAAGATACCTTCATCTTAAGTTCAATTCTAAGAAAAGTGCCAAAATAGACAGAGGGGCAGAGAAAGTCCTTGTCTGATATTCTGTAATAATATAAGGAAATAATAACATAACCTAACCTTAATATGTTCAAGCCAGTGAGTAGATTCCAAGTTAGACAACCAGTGAGTCTCCTCGATGTTAGGGTACACAATCTCCTTCAGTTTTCGTAATGATTCTCTCATAACATGAATATTGTGGATATCCAGAAAAACTAGTTCTGCATTTTGATAGGCATCTTCACTCTCATAACCCCCACCCTTCGCCTGGGAAAAAAAAGCACACACCACAGGAACTCATAAATGAATGTGCCCCCACTGCATGTAAACATATGTGAAAAAGTGACATAAAATATCCAATAACATGAAAGATGATACATATTCTTTTTTTTTTTTTTTTAAGATTTTATTTATTTATTTGAGAGAGAGAGAGAAACAGCATGAGAGGGGAGAAGGTCAGAGGGAGAAGCAGGCTCCCCGCTGAGCCGGGAGCCTGATGTGGGACTCGATCCCAGGACTCCGGGATCATGACCTGAGCCGAAGGCAGTCGCTTAACCAACTGAGCCACCCAGGCGCCCCGATACATATTCTCTTCTTTTCTTTTTTTTTTAATCTTATTTAATTGAGAGAAAGAGAGAGCGACAGAGAGCATGAGCTGGGGTGGGAAGACAGTAGGGGCAGAGGCAGAGGGAGAAGCAGACTCCCTGCGGAGCAGGGATCCCAATGCGGGGCTGGATCCCGGAAACCTGGGATCATGACCTGAGCCGAAGGCAGACGCTTAACCGACTGAGCCCCCCAGGCGTCCCGATGATAAATATTACTGATGAATAGGAAAACTCCACGGGAAAATGTCAATGGTTCAGGACATCTTAACACAGCCACTCCCTACTACACGTTCTTCTTTATAAAACAGGAATATACACTCAAACCCTGACTCCCTTATGTGGCTGTTATAAAAATTAAATGTGATACCATATATGAAGGTCCTTGAACATTTTTAAAGCACTAAATTTTGCCTACCTATATTTCCAGTTCTACCCAAGCATAATTTATTAGAGAAGACTGAAATCACCAGCTCTGCGTGCTGGGATGACATCTAGTTTCGTACTGGCCCATGCTTCTTCACCTCCCTTCCTCTTCACCTCATTTTAATCTTAATATTTGCAAAATGATTTGCAATCATAATGACTTGCTTCTATTTCAACCCCATAATTATTTCCAAATAAAAAGACAGAACAAGTATAACAGCACAGAAGACCACAGCATACGAGAACAGCGACTGTAGCTATAAAAAAATTGTTCATATGACTCACACCATCGAAAACTACAAAACCCACCAACGCCTAACCAACAACAAATTACCAAAAAACAGAAGGGCTGTTTCTAACACTGACAGTCTGGGAAATAGTTTGGATTCAAGATTGGCACAGCTACATAAATTAACAGTGTTTCAGTGGGTACCTGTTAACAAGGATTATTCCTGGAGCATGGGAACTGAACAGGTCAGGGGTAAGAGACACTTTCAATTCAAACTGGTTGCAACAAATTCTAGAAAGATGGCAGTGGAAACTACACAGGCCAGGCACAAAAACAAACAGAAAATGCTCTGGAATCAGACAGTTGTAGAACTTTGTGAGTATACTAAAAACACTGAAATATATACTTGAAAAGAGTGTTTTCTGGCATGTGTATTAGATTTCAAAAAAATTGACATTTAAAAGAAAACAGAACAACTAGACAGTAAAACCAAAAACACAAAAATCATTTAAAACAGAAATGGGGACAAAGCATTCTGTGAAACCCCAAAACCACCCACAGTCACAAGATCTGAATGCTGTCAGTGAATGTGTGGGAAGCAGCAGAGGAAGTGATGGATATAAAAGGACTGGAGAGCAGGACAACCATGAGAGAGCCTTACACTTTTTAGTGTTTGTTCTGCTTCCCGTGTTGGCCCTCATCTTCCAGAACTATAGGGAAGCCCAACAGGTCAATCTAAGAAGTGCAGCTGAAAACCAGGAAAGGTTCCGTCCGTTCTAAGAGCCCATGAATCTAACGGATCTACAGTAGATCTAAAGGGGCCAAAGCAGTCTAACCTTTCTGAACTCTCCTAACAGACCAGCCAGGGATTGCTTCTGCTAAGCACATCGTCAAAGTTGAGCAGACAGAGTCAACAGAGGCAAAGGAAGAGAAGGTCCAGATAAGTAAGACAAAGGAAAAGAAGCTTCAGGTAAGGGAATGGGGGGGAAGGTATTGGGTGGGAGAGACAGGACAGAGCCAGGAAATCCCAGAAAGTAAGACTTCATATTTTTTAATGCTACATGCAAACAATAAAAGAGGCAGCTCAGTGAAATTAGTTCTAACTTCTGGGTACACCTAACTTCGGAGCCATGGCTTCCAACTGAACCAACCACCCTGAAGGTTCAGGAAAACTAATTTCACCTAAAAATGAGTAATAGGAAAGGATCAAGCTCAAGTCCCATAGGCGCTATCCTAAAAAGAGAATGAGCAGCATTCATAACATATCCTCTGAAAATGCCTCTCAACACTAAAAGCTCTTTTCAAGCAAGCTAAAGACATTAAAAAATAATACCAGGCATGAAAAACAAAATAAATTGGAATTAGAAAACTCAAAAATGAAGCGACAGAACTTGGGAACAAATTAGAAATAAAAGGAAAAAAATCAGGAAAACTAAAGAAGAAGAAACACAAGAATAAATAATTCAGCAGGTACCAAGTTAAAAGAAATAGAGAAAAGGAAAATATTTAAAACCAAAATGAAATTAGAAAGACATAAGAAGGAGTCAAGAGAAAGTAACAAATGATGAAGAAAGGTGAAGAAGAGCCAACACAAGAGTCCTGAAGAAGAAAGTCAGAACAAGGGAACAGAATGCTAAGAACAATGATTAAAGAAAACTGCATGAATTTTTTTTTTTAATTGGAAATTACATATTGAAACAGCACACATGCATACCTGAGAATATAGACCCAGAACACACAGCATGGAGACATATATTCTGGCAATAACTGTACTTCAAAGGAAAAGAAAAAAGTCCTTTGAACATCCAAGTAAAAAGAGTGACGTAGAAGGTAAAGAAATTTAGTTTATTATTAGCCTTTGAAGCTTTATGCCAAAAGAAAATAAGCAACATATTTAAGAAATTCAGGAAAATCACATGTAAGCTAAGGGTTTTATGTCCAGTCAAACTGACTTTCAAACTTTAATAAAGGACACAAGCTCCTATTAGCATGCAAACACTCAGAATATTGTTCCCATGAACCCTTGCTGAAATATTTAGAGGAGAACAACTTCAGATAATAATAATAATAATAATAAAAATAATAATAATAATGTCTAGAAAGTCATCCATATATCTGGGGCACCTGGGTGGCTCAGTCGTTGGGCGTCTGCCTTTGGCTCAGGTCGTGATCCCGGGGTCCTGGGATCGAGCCCCGCATCGGGCTCCCTGCTCGGCGGGAAGCCTGCTTCTCCCTCTCCCACTCCCCCTGC